AGACTGTAGGAAAGGCCTTGCGAACCTACTCCGTGGGCCTGGTAGGCGACTACAACGGATTTGGAGAAACCGCGATCTGACGTGGGTTGCATCGTTTGAACATGGACTAGACCCTTCAGGACCCAATGTCGCCTGCATTGAGGGGTACTTGTATGTGGCACAGTACAGGCGATATTAGCCATTCGCCTAGCACTCATGTGGCACTGTGCATACAGCGTAGTACGCGGCTATCACATGGACTAAGGGACATGCGGTGCACTTAGACCAATGAAGGATGCAAGTCGTTTCCACTTACCAATCACTCAAGACTCTTGCCTTACTAAACGGATGTATGGCAAGAAGTTCGAGAAACTTGAATAGGACCCTAAATTATTGGCTCAAACATGAACATCCCCACCAGGACCCTGCAGGAACAAGGTTCTCCGTTGGTGGTGCAAGACGAACTAGGGCTCCCTAATAGCTTCAAACGCTTTGCATATAGATCAGTCTAGGAGCAGAATAGCATAGCTGCGATATAGGACAACAAATAGCATCTTTAATAACAATAACTTATCGCTCCAGGAGGGTGGACATGCAATGGATACCCAGCCTCGTACTACCTATGCGCCTGGAATAATAAGCAGGAGATGCGCAAAAGAGACAAGAACGGAATTCTCGCCAGAAAAATAAAAGAGCGTACATAGTAGCCTTGCATATTGAATCCGCAATGATTTGATATCATGCGATTCAGCGTGGTGCGCTTAACACTTAATGCAAATTCGTTATCTCGTGCTAGGATGATCTAGACTTCTAAGTGTTCCGTACACGAATACTGCATAGATAAACTATCTGAGGTACGGGGCACAGGTGTCGTTACTCAAAGCTTGGGATTATAATGCTCGATTTCACTTCTGAAATATCGTATATTATCTAGAAGCACACTTTGGTGGTGCGGAAACCGCGATGCTAGATAGGCTAAATGCACTGCTCAAACAAGCCCGCCTCAAACAGAATGATGAACTTATCACATCCTGTTTCAGCCCGGATGTTACCTTCTTACAGCGAGTACACTCGTCCATGAGAGGCTGTCAGGAAGCCAACAAGCACTGTGTATTAGACTCACTTGATAGGCCGATGTAGCAGGTTGAATAGTCTACTAAACTAGACTACAACGCTAGTGGCATGACTAGCTAGCTGCACATACAGCGACCCTAGAGCCTATAGATGGTCTCAATCATTGGCTGTGACTTCTTGATTCTCTGACAGATGGTTTTTGAAAGAAATCCGGAAGAAATTTTGATGTGGTGCGCAACTTACCCGTTCGCGTTATTTGATTGGAAAATGTTATTATTGAGGCTTAAGTAGTGCCACTAGTGGAAGACTAGCGCCAACCCATTTACTGCGGGGAAATGCTCAAGAACAGTGTTGCTGACCGCATTCTATTGTTAGATATATACTCCGTGCTGGGCCTCTGACAACTACAAGCCTAGATTGTTAGTGTTAACCCTTTGCTTGTTCCTATTAGCCCGTGTAATTGTGCGATGGAGCCAGCTCTTACAGAATCCAGAATTCCACGGTCCCCACGAAAATGAGGCGCGCTAAGATGATTAAAAGTATACATGTCTCCCCTCATTACAAAAAACTGTCATTTGGCGGAGTATCGGTGACCTATTATTAGGAAGTTTGAAGCCTGTCATATATTACTATACCTATCTTGTTGTAGAACAAGATGCGAGTAAGACATCGCTATGATTTTGAACCAGGAAATAAGTGCCTGGTCTAGTAAATGAGGCTTCCATTTTGTGATAAGATATTCACATAATGGATTGGCCAAGGGATAGGTAATGATGGGCTTGCCTTAGAGTGGGTCACTAGAACTACATTCTACCTAGTCATTGTAGATTCTTAGCAATATTGCCGTCTTTCTGATAAGATTATCTTATCAGATGTATAGGTCTTGATACAAATCCGATCATACGTCTTTCGCATTTCAGCGCATTCTGTCCGAAAACTAATGCTAGCTTTCCTCGAATAGTCCCCGTAGATTAATGCTAAGACTAATGCTAGCTTTCTCGAATGGTCCCCGTAGATTAATTCGAATACTGATGCTTGCTTTCCTCGAATGGTCCCCGTAAATTAATGCAACACCACCTTGCGATCCACTTGAATGCAGATTCCCCTCTTTGAGTATACTGAATTGGCCAGCAGGGCATGGTACAGAAAGTGATGTGGCAATAGATCCCATTCTAGGAATACTTGCTCATCTAGCAATAGATGGATTGATGGCACAGACTGCCTAGATAATCCATTCGAATAGTGTAATGGACACTATATAAGGAGCAAATTTCCCATGAGTGAAAATTATCTTTGATTATATTCATGATCTTTCTACATAGAAAAGATCCTGTCACCCTGAAAAGAATCGATAAACAAAAAACATTGAAAAATGAAGGAATTGCTCGTTTTTTCCCTTACTCTTTCCCTTGCCATGTTTGGCCGAGCTTCTGTTTGCAATGGTTCGTTCAGCCTTTCTTTCAAGAAAACTCTATCTTTGGGTGAAGCTTCGAACTAATGACTATGCGTGAAAGATGGTGATATAGGCATTGGTTACACATACGATTGCATCACTGGCAGTAGCATTACTGGCTCATGTGTAAATTCGGGCTCTCAGTGGGGAACTATCTGGGACCATAACTGCAACATCTTGAGCATCAACCTTAGTGGAATATGTGGCTGGTATTCAGACGATACCGATAGCGGCGTGGGTTGCGATTCTAGTGGTCACCCATTGCTTGCAGTGCATGAACACCGGGGGTATGGTCTCTGCTATGAAGCCGATGGGAACTGCGGGGAAGGTCTTGATACTGGAACGCATTTGTGGGCATGCTGCCCCTATTCACCATAACACTAACCTATCCCGACCCAACGACATCTTAATCGAAGTCTATCATAAACTTGCATTGAAAAGTCCCTGTGGGTTACACTAGTTAAAAAAAGTTGTGGGAGCTGGGGTGGGTTTGGCTGGCTCCATTCATGGCTTAGGGAGATCACATAGTTAGCTCATTTTGTTGATATATCATGTCTTATGGTTCTTCGATCCCTAGCTAATACGTAGGAGGCTAGAAATTAGTTTGAGTATTACTAAAATCTTTAGTGTACAGAGTACACTAGTGCATAACTAGGTATTAGGTACCTCGCTACGAAATTGACAATTATTTTAGCAGAAGAATACATATCAATAATATACATACTGTAGCTAGCTGCGGTCTAAGGGTCGCTATTCAGGTGTGTGACTGAGGTTCCGAACTGCCTATTGGAAATATTAGGCATCTTAGCACCCTCTTGATCCCGAATTGCCTTAATGTGTATCTATAATTGATTCCTGGGAAACAATTACTTTGCTGAGGGTTTTGAGTAATTGAAAATTTAGCTCCATTACTCACTCGATGGGTCATAACGCCATTATGGATGGATATAGTGACTCAAGATAGACTTAATATGAGGTCAGAATTCTTTTGACCAATTACCCTCAGATGATTTTGGCAATTCCCTCGCCATAATACCCTTTTTCACCACGTTAGTGATTATTTGATAGATGAAATGCGCTGCTGCTAATGCTGTCTCTTCTCTAACGCCATTTTATGTGGGACTAACTTCAATGATATCAACCCTAACGAGATTTAAATCCTCTATACACAAGCTCCACAATGAAGTGGTTTCTAGGTGGTTCGGATGCACCGTCTTTACCATACCTCCCGGCGGAGGTTGGGTTGAGCATTGATCAGGCTTGGCGTCTATTGTTTACAGCGATACCAGCGAAGTGGATGCTGGCGCAGAATCAGAAGCTGAGTGAAAATTGCAAACAGGGCCATATCTAAAATCCGGGCTATAAGTATCAATCGCGTTGATAAGGCAACATTTTACAAGAACCTTGTCGGCGTCGGTATGGGTTATAGTGACCTTTTCCAGAATTTGGATGGCGCCCATGCAGGAACTAACTGCGGTCGGTCATGGCACCATCACTACCGGTATAACGAACACAAAGGAAACAATGCCATCGTAGTATGAGTATCAACATTTAATCAATCCGGCAACTGTTGATGACATATTCCATTTAATGTTTCTCGGAATACACTCGAGTCGGGGGAGGCAACGCGACGGGTAGATATTGTTGTTGCCTAGCCAGCGCAAACAGTCAAAGTCTCGGCATGCCTACTGCTTATTAATTTCGCACACCTGGGAATTATATTTGCAACTCAGATTACTACTGCGACAACTCGGGATTGTTTTGATCGAATACAGTTCCAATTGATAATTTTTTCGGTGGATGGGAAAGGTCAATCGAATTGTTTGCATGTTGACGTCAACTAGCCTCATTCGTCGAAGCAGATATGATCCTCTCCGAATTGCCTCCCCTCAGATCCATAAGACCACACACCAAATCACGACTAGGCTGTCTCAATTGCAAATCCAGAAGGGTCAAGGTAAGAGCTGATGGATGAGATAAATTTCAATTGCTCAAAAGTAATCGCCTCTGCAGTGTCCGGAGACGCGCCCTCAACCATGTCAAAACTGTATTAGTAGACGCGTGGAGTGCATATATGCATCCAACTCCCAGTCACGGCGTCGAAGAAACACAAGTCGCGGTAGTTATCGTCAGAAAGACAGGTTGAGCAGTAGCGAGCCCAACAGCGCACTTGCAACAGCTCCACAGGACTCGTCCTCGTCGCTACTGAAGCTTCAGCCGCTATACTCTACGTCGCAGGCATCCTTCACGGGAGAGGACCTTCAGTTCTTTCACCACTTCTTACTTACGGCATACCCTCATTTACCTTTTCAGAGTGAAAATTTATGGAAGACGTCACTCCCGGCATCTGCGCACCAGGTATGCCTTCAATCAGCATCGAATGGAAAGGGGTAACTAATGTGCATTTTAGTGCCCACATTTGATGCACGCAATTCTATGTTTAGGAGCGTCCCATTTGTCCCTGATATCACCAGAAGGCAGCTCTTATACTGCGATGGCTGTCGAACATCGAGGCAAAGCCCTGAAATACTTGAGCAGTGCTCTCGCATCACCCAGTCACCCTAACAGAACGGAACTGGATCTTATCTTGGCAACAACCTATGCGCTTACATTTCAAGCAAGCTATATGATTGACGGACTCATTGACTTTGCCGTTATGGTTCGAGGCTGCTCTATCGTCACTCGGTATATTTTGGCACAGTACCAATGCAGTGAGATGTTCAAGCTGCTGATGCCAAACGATATTTACGCTTACGTATGGCCTTTGTTGTCCGCGGAACCCTCTCATTCTCCTGAGATGATTGATGCGTGTATTGAGACACTAGAAGCTATCCAACCGCTACTACAGGGTGACATCCCTCGTCACCTTACTTATAACGCAATACTCTCCACTTACCAAGCCATGAAAGTCTCCGCGCAGCAGGCCTTTCTCACGTTTACATTCATCTACAGCTCCTGGGATCATATAAACGACCATGATTTCATCAAGTTTTTGAACCCTGGCGATCCCGTCTCAAGTCTGCTTCTCATCCATTTTATTGCAGCCACGATTATGATGCGACCGATCTTTGAGGTCCTGAGAGTAGACATTGTGAGTACACCGAAGGACGCGCTCGCTAACCACCACTGGGGAATTCATAGATATGAGTCTCTTCCGGCAAAGTTTCGTGGATTAGTAGAGTGGCAAGTTAGCCTCATTAATGCTGATAAAGCGTGGATTGAGAGTGGGCTAAAATTACATGCGATGGGCAGCAGGGCAACTATATAGAATTTGGAAGCTTATAGACGTATCTAAAGCATTGCAAGAAGATCATCGAAGCGTCCAGTGACCACATAATTTATCAGCTAGAAGACATTCAACAAATATGATCATTCGAAACACGACGAACACAAGAGAGGGGCTTTAAGGTTTAACAAGTGACAATTCAAGCAGATTTGAAGTTTTGCTGCCTGTCGAATTGGTTCGATATTAAGATCAACCATGAAGTCTTTCACGAGATTCCAACTCCGTCGACTTTGGAAGACCTGAGGGCAGACACCGCGCAGGGTGATACCAGCCCAATGTGATCATCGCAACGAGCATTGGTAGTGCCTCGAGAACGTACAGTGGCCACTCATGGTTCCAGGTATAGGTACCTATGCCCATGGAGAATTCAATGATTCGATAGATCAGACGCACCTAGTTGTCGGTCAGTCACCCTCGAATCTTTCTCGGCTATTTTCAGTGGAGAGTTTACCGTGATGAAGAATCCGGCAATGTATATACCCGTCAACACCGACCTCACTCCAGAACCCTTCTCGTCTCTCCGAGACGAAGGAGGGGCAACACGAACATCATACCAAATTACAATAACAAGAAACAGCACAAAAGTGACAAGCTGCAAAACCAATCCGCCGATAAGCACCCCTATACCAGCGTCTTTCGTTGGCCCCGTCCAATTGTTCGAAGAAGCAAGTCCACTTCCGGACGCCTGCGTGAGGAAACTGAGGATATCCGAGGTGACAAAGATTCGAGGGATCCAGATCGACGAGACCCGCCCTCCAAAAAAGAATGGTCGTTTTCCCGTGCCGGGTCTCTCACGCCTATTCAAGCTGGATTCAATAAGCCTTCCGATTAAAATGTAGAGGCTTGCGCAGACGAGAACAGGTGCAATCACGATCAACGACGCCGAAGTCGCGTAAAGACCAACGTCGTCCGGCTTTTTGACGCTGGCGGCTCGAATGGCGTACGCCGCAATTTCGATTGCTGCGCCGATCACGATTGGAACGAAGCATCCAATGTGATTGTATCTGCCGCTGTACGGGGCGATGACAGACATGTACAAGTGATAACCGAACGGGAGCATATAGATGGTAGTAAAGAGAATCGAGGCCGCCAGGGACGGGTCATAAAAGTATATGGATTGGCCCATTGTGAGGTCTGCTTTGTCTATGCGTTCCAGGGGATCTGATAAATGTCTTATAATTATATTCAACGATATTTCGAGATCTACCTAGAGATTCATCACGACTTTATATCTAGTTTCTTCTTTATGTCTCATTGCTATTTCTCCAATCTTCGAAATTTGCGATGCTATACCTGTACATGTCTATAGAGATATCGAAGGATAGACCAATGGGGCTGCACGCCGAGACTCGTATTCGCATTTCGCATTAACTTCTTATGACACCGGGATGTTATAACTTAAATATCTTGTTGCCTGGGTGAGCCACTATCGTTATTGCTTAGATCACATCATGTCAAAAAACCTAACTTATCCGGGCATATTTCAGCTCCTCAGCCATTTGTCTTGGCTCGTTAGGCAGCGAAAATATTCTATCGATGACTTTCGCGAGTGCGAAATGCATCCCAATCTTTTCGAGTCTACTGGTGAATTAGCCAAGTGAGAATTAATGGATACGTGGTGTAAAATAGCTTTTGTACTAAGCCTTTGTACTAAACTGAAACGCTTGACGGAAAGTAGAAAAAGACGAGTCAAGAGCTGTGAGTAGCCACGGTTCTGTCCTGATCTGGGCTATAATCAGCGTCGGTACCTATCGTTGATAGACAAACATAAGAAGATGGAGGAATGTATATCCGTTACACTAAAAGTCCATCATTGATATGTGAAGCAGACGGGATTAGTACATGCTTTGAAATAAGATTACCATTCCCCAATGCACGTACGGCAGATGCGTAGTTGCTAGATGCTGGGTCTGATATCGGTCTGGTATTGATATTGACGTTCCTGCAGTACTATTTCAAATGGATCTAAAATTTAATACTATACCAAGGAGTTAGTAATTTATCTATCTTATTTTGGTAAGTTGTATATGTATAGAATTGGGTCTTAAGAGGAATTAATAGGAATTCCCACTAGGATATTGAGAATTCTATACACGGGAGTAGGAAGGCCAAAATAAAGAAGTCTGGGCATGGGGAGTGGTTTCGTCAGGCTTCCATGGGAAAAGTCAAGGCCTAGGCGTATTGATCCAAGTACGGCTGTCACACCTAGGTCAGGTTTTCTGTTTGACATATACTTGGTTTAGGATCGTAAGAGTTGATCTTTATATAAAGGTTGACCAGTCTGATCTCATGTGCTGATAAACACATGACAAGTCTATAAAACACCTCGAGGCTTCATACAACTTGGTAAATAGCAGGCAGAATCCACCTCTACTTCATGCAAATGAAGTAGCCTATTTCTGCATTTTACTTACCACCAACCAAGTTGGTATTATTTGGACAATCCAAAGCCCCAATCTGTCACGGATTCAGTATTTGATTGGGCAAGGTAGAGCCACCAACTTACAACAATGATTCGGCACCCATCATGCTCCACTTTGTTTGCACTGCATAACCCAGAGCCGCTCCGCCCGTGTTCACTGCCTTGAAGAAACCGGTATATCTTTCCAGCTCATTGATATCCTCTGTCAGAGAGCCAATCAGTGCGTAAGTATATGTCTGAAACGCATGATCGGTGAATCTATAAAGGAGATTGAGCTTCGCTGACGCTGACAGGGGCCCAGAGGGCTTATTGGGTTAACTTACGCGTCCAACAATATCAGCAAAAAACTAGCATAGTACTCTGGCTGTGTCCAGTCCAGACCGACTGGGGTTGTCTTCGCATAGTACCATTGTACCACTGTGTACCATACCCAAACAATAGTGTACAACGTATAGACCCCGATAAATCCCCAGCGGAACTTAGCTGGCCGTGACATTTGCGGAGTGTCGAGAAAAATCCCCATTGTAAATGTCCCAGCAATACCCACGAATGCGCCCACAAAGGAGGTGAGCGCCCGTCCACGGACAGAGTGGTATACCGCTGTAAAGGTTCCCTTGTAAGAGAGGAACCATTGCGAGAATATGAACATAGGCAGAAGGAGTATCATCTGCGCAGGCATGAGAAGGGCACAAGCATTTTTTAAATTAATGGACTTACCTCCTTTCTTGATACAGCACTAAAAATCTTTTTTGCTTCCTCTAATGCATTTGGTTGTTTCTTGGAATAGATTCTGATGCCGTCGCGACGAATGACTTTAGCTGGACTCGATAACAGCAATGCAATGAACGGTCCACAAGCAGCAATTGTGATAAGCGGAATATATGTGACTAGACAACACGGTTAGTGAAAAAATTAAAATCGATGGGAGATGTATGATTTACTAGGACTGATTGCCCCAGCTTCTTCTCTATGTACGTTAAAGCCCAGAGAAAGTGCACCTCCTACAGCCTGGCCTGCAGCAATAGAGGAATACCAAATGGAAACTGGAAAGAGCAGATGTTAGCCTCAAACTTCTTGAAGAACGAAGCATAGATCATACTGAATTTCCCCCTAAAATTTGGCTCTGGATATGCCAGCATGATCGATGCCTGGACAACCCTGTTTGATGCTCAGAACAACCTCCTGCAAGATGGGACGGAGATCCGACCTACCATAAAAGCGCTGTGGTGAATCCCTGGATCGCAGCAGCAAGATACAGAAACCAGTTCGTGTGGTACTTATTATTGCAGTACAGCGAAGCCCCATTGATGCTAAACCCCAGGACACCGATACTGAGTACCAACCGTTCACCGAGAACATTGACAAAGACTCCAGTCAAGAGAGCGAATACCACATTCATCCCGTAGGACATGCCACTGGTAATATTGACCAAGTGAGGGCTCTCCAGCCCTCCGGCCCCAAGACCAGCTATAGCACTGTACATGCCAGGGCCACAAAAGAATACCCCTGCAATAACAGCAGCTTGAAATCGAGTGGAGCGGAACCAATGGATAGAAGAGACCTCCGGAATACTATCATTCTCGAGGACTGTTTGGACCTGGCTCTCTACTCCGCCATTCTTTGATTCTTCTCCCGAAAAATCTCGCTTGACTTGGGTAGCCATTTTTGCTTGCTTGCTTGCAAAATCATCGCAAGGGGAAGAACCGAGATTTGACCAAGCTATTTATGTTCTGTTGCTTTAGCTTGGAGCTCTATGATAAGGTATTAGACAATCTGATTGTCGTGTAAACAATCACGCAATACCGCCACTAGTAGGCCAGAGATGACAAATACACCTGCCTTTACGCCATTATATAAGTATCAAATATGGAGATATCGAAATCAGAAGCATTCAAATTGTAGTTCATGGAAGGTACGTAGTTAAGGGTGTCGTAGAACCGTCGAAGCGCTAGGCTCAATGGGGGAATACTATGGGGCGCTGTCATCTTGTCGGGACTTGGAAAATATCCTATCTCGGAAATAGCGCTTCGACGGTTATCCGGCACCGACCGGGTAATTAAACTTGTATACAAGTAGGTTCTACTTTATATTTCAGCCATTTGATCAAGCCGTGTATACCAATTGGTTTACACGATAATCATCACTGCCACGGGAGTTGGCAAGTATAACTGCCGGACTGACCACCGTTCGATTGGCTGATGGAAAATGGCGTCAAGACCACGAAAATGGCAAATTTAGATGTTTTGGCTAGCAATGCCGAACCGGCTCCTGTTTAGTTTGTTCATTCACAATGGCGTCAAACCCCCGAAAATAACGAATGTAGATAACAATTGTCTACGAAGTGAGTCAACTGCATTTAAATCGGAACAGATAACTCCTTAAGTTAATTGGAAATGTGAACGTCGAGGGGCAAATAATCATCATGCCTCAGCGGACTCTAACCGTTGACGGTCAATCCGTCACGGATCTGAGCGACACTCGCCCAACTGATATCGAATACCCAGAGACCTCTGAGTMCCCCGCCATACGGCAGAGAGCCCTTCCTCTCAGGCCTCTAGGTGATCACGTACCTCCACGTGGCATCCGCGAGCCAACCGCAGTTCCACGAGACAGGGGGTTCTTCGCAAACCCTGACCTGCCGAATCTGTTTGCAGATCCGGAAGTCAAAAGATTGGATCTAACACCTTCCTTGGGTACACTTATCACCGGGCTGCAGCTTTCTTCGCTGACGGACGCGCAAAAGGATGAGTTGGCGTTACTTGTTGCTCACCGGGGTGTGTTGTTCTTCCGTGACCAGGATATCACGGCCGAAGGGCAGAGGGCATTGTTCGATTATTATGGTACTTATCATTTTCCACTAGGAAGGTATCTCTGATCGCCGTGCTAATTGTGCTTTAGGAATCCCAGAATTGCTGCCCGACCCAGAAGACGCCAAGGCAAAGGGCAAACCTATAGTGAATACTATTGCGGAACAAGATGAGTATGTCCCATTGATATTATTTCACCAAGCTTTAGATTACAATCTTCCTAAGAATATTTCAGAGACTTCCGAGAAAGCTATGTCCATTTTAAATGGCCATTCGCAGACTTTCATGCAGATAGTAGCTTCCAAGCTAACCCTCCCTCGTTCTCTCTCTTGAGAGTTCATGAATTACCGCCCACAGGCGGTGACACAAGCTGGTATGCCACTAAGTCAGTATATTAGAACTCTCTACCAAACTAAGTAAATATTAGGATATCCGGCTATGGCACATATGAGACCTTATCAAAACCACTGCAAAGATTTGCAGATAGCCTCAACGCTTGGCATAGCTCCGGGGTAAGCACCATACCTCAATCTACTTCTTCTTTATTATCAAATCACTTATCTTGCTATTTATGGTCAGCTTGTATACGAATCCATCATCAATCATTGGAAGCATAATGTAGCAGAGCGACCCATCGAGACACTGCATCCATTGGTGACTACCCACCCAGTGACAGGTTATAAAGTCCTAAATCTGAATTCGGGTTTCGTGACGAGGCTGGACGGACTGAAACGATATGAATCTGATAAGCTTCTCGAACTCCTCTTCACGCATATTCATACGGCCCAGGACCATATGGTGCGGTTTCGCTGGGAAAGAAATTCGGTAGCGTTGTGGGATAATCGGTACAGTCTTGTTCCCGCATCACCCTAGCTACCTGCTGAGAGTTGCGATATACTGATATTGCAAAAGCGCAACTACACATCGTGCAACACATGATTATGCTCCATTGCATCGACAAGGAGTACGGGTTACTATCAAAGGACAAGTTCCGAAGCATGTCCCGGGAAGTTTGAGTAGGAAGGAGGCCGAGGTAAAAGCTTTGAAAGAGGGCAAAGTTCACGCTGTCCATAATGAAAATACGCGGAAGGGAAACTATATAGAGAGGGGTTATCCTAAGATATGAGAGACTTCTATGCTACTATAAGTAGTTAATGTGCTTTGTATCACGGCATGACTTATTGATTGGTGGTCAAATCTCGAACCATTTACAGTGTGTATTCTTAGGGCCATTCCACTACTGTACAGTAAGAGAAATTGGTGGCTATGGAAGTACGCTCATCAAGGCTGGACTAGATACTTGTTGGTTCTAAAGACGCCTGGATGTATCTGTTTTCATCATCAACGCCTTTGTGCATCAGTGTATTCGTCTGTTCTATTAGACCTCTACAAGTCCCATAGAATTAAAAAGATTTAGTCCTAGTCGTACAGGAATGATTTCTATAGAATTAAATAAAAGTTCTAGACTTTTCTATCTATAAAAATTTTATAACTTCTCTATAGGGTTTTTATAAATTATTAATTTATAATATAGATGCATTAGATGGGCATTATCAAGGTCTACCTGTCAGATCCGGTGGTTAGTGTGAACTAACGTCTTCCTAGATATCTCGATAACCTATACTGAACACTCTAATAATGTATAGTCTACCTCTCAAGCTCATAGTGCCGCCGACCATTTATCATGTGGAATCGTACTTCTTCCAGCTACCAACATACTAAGGGTACCCAGCGTCGAGGCGCCCTGTACCTCAAAAACAGCAATTTCGGCGTTGAACTCCTTAACAATCCAGTTCCGCAGCTCAATTGCCAGCAGTGAGTCAACACCAAATATCTGGAGCGGCTTGTCATAATTAATTGATGCGCCGTCTCGCAGCGCAGCGATGGATCTGGCTAGCTTCTGAATCGTGGCCTGGGCAACGATTTCTGCCGCTTCGTCCTTGGACGCGGATGCAGCAAATTGTTCACGCTGCTCTTTCACTTTATCGGCGGTGCCCAGGCCATCCATCACTGCAGCCATAGCGGCGGCACGTCTTTCACCCGCTAATATCACCGGCTGCAACATCGGTTGTCGATTGTGGTCAACGCTCTCCAACCCGCCGGCACCATAACCCATTCCAAGTCCAACCACCACTTGTGCTTCCTCGGGAGATGTAAGGGCCAGTTCGGGATTGCAGTAGTAGTCTAAGATACTGTGGAACCTTTGCCGCGTAACAGGCTCTATGATATCATAAGCAAGAACACGGTTTAGGAGCTCAGGACGTTCAGCCAGAATGCCGTCGTCCACCATTGCGCCTAGGTCAAGAGATATAGCCTTCTCACCTAGGGCCACACGGTACCGGGCGAGAGCATCTTCGTATGTATTTCCGGCGTCGTAGCTGGTTTGCCCTTTGATTCCGACTACTCCAGACGTAGACGCGAGGAGAATGAAAAAGTCCATTCCTTTCGGTAGGACAGTGTGGAGGTTCCACGAGCCGACAACCTTGACGTCTACGGCACTTTTCCAATCATCATACTCTAAGTCTCTAAAAAGCCAGTCCTATTACGATTTATTAGTCAGTCTGCTTAATGAATGAGATATAATTAAAAGTAATGCAAAGGCGGGGGCGCTAACCCTGGCTATGACTGACATCTGCAAAACACCTTTGATGGGGGGCATATTTGCGGATAGCCTACCAAAGATCTGCTTCATGGTGTCTAAATCTGTAACGTCGCATGCTGGTGTCTCGACTCTTACTCCGATGGATTGCAGATTTTTGATAAGTTCTCTAGCGGAATCAGTCCGAGGACCGAAGCGTGAGAGGAGGATGATGTTTCTCGCTCCCCGTTCAGCCATCCATCGAGCTGTTGCACGTCCGAGTCCGCCTAATCCACCTGCAATTACGAACGATGAGTTGGGATCCATTTGTAAACTCGGTTTCGTGTTAAGTGTGACCTGAGAAAAATGTCTCATTAGTGTAAAATCATCTTGGGGGAAGTCACATGATCCTTTACCTGCACTTGCGATTCAGGAGTCACCTCCAGTACAACCTTGCCAATCTGGTCACCTTTCTGAACCATCTGGAAGACACTTTCAATCTCCGAGATATCGTGGACACGCAATGGTAATGCAGTATGAAGTTTATGCTGGGCAAACATATCGACCAGCTCTTGCAGATCGTGATATGCCGTTTCAGGACGATCTTTCACCCACTGAGAATATTCGAAAGCAATGAACGAAGCATTTTTGTTGAATCCAAACATCGGAAGCTTAGAATTTGACATGACGTCTTTCTTTCCAATCTCAATAAACCGACCATACGGCGCAATGCATTCCCAAGAGGCAATGAGGCCTTCTCCTACTAATGAGTTTATAATCACATCCACGCCGCGGCCGTTGGTAATGCGTTTGATGCCTTGCGCAAAGCTGGTATCACGGCTATAGAAGATATGATCCTCAGGAATCTTATATACATCCATAAGGAAATCTTTCTTGATCTTGGACCCCACAGTCGCGAAGATTGTCGCGCCTAGAGCCTGCGAGATCTGAATTGCTGCTTGCCCTGTGCCACCGGACGCGGCATGTATCAAAATAGTCTCTCCTTGTTCTAGCTTCGCCAGTCGGTGAATGACTCTCCATGCAGTACCGAACTGCATCGGAATTGCGGCTGCGGTGGTGAACGCCATGTTATCTGGAATCTTGACGGCTCCTTTACCTCGAACGAAAGTTCTAAACATCTCGGACCCAGCCAGGATGACGCGATCGCCGGGCTGAAATACAGTATTGGCTCCTGCTTTGATGACTACACCCGCGCACTCTGGGCCCATTTTGGACCGGGAGAGTTGGCCCAGTGCAATTAAACAGTCTTTGTAGTTCATGCCAATTGCATAGGAGCGAATTTCGATCTCATCCGCGGCCAGAGGCTCATAAGCAGCCACATCTTCCACAAAGTGAAGTGTGTCAAGAATGCCGACAGATTTCATGCTCAATAAGAGGGGTGGACAATCTTTGACTGCAATTTTGTCTGATCTCCGTGCACCTGATCTACTATTTAGCTCATGTGTAACGGTCGGGGCCGGGATAATACGCGGGATATGTATAGCTTGTTTGATTTCCAGATACTCAACATCAACAATGTTGGAATTGCGATGAACGTGTTTCGCGTTTAGAATCTGGGTTAGGCTGTCAATTTGCCATTCAGACAAGTTGTCTGTGGCCTCAAAGCTGAGCACAGTTACATTGAGATCAGGGTATTCGTTCCGAAGCACACGAGTTAGACCATGAATTATGCTATAGTCTGGATTACCGGCCTCCGAACCCCCAGAGAATGTAACCCAGTGCATATCAGAGACAGTCTGAAAGAGTGTTTTCAGCGGTCCATAAGCGGACCTTGTGATGCTGTGCATGAACCGGTAGTCTAGCTCCAGCAGCACCACAAAAATTATGTTGTCTGTCTGTTTGATGGCGGCCGCCTCTTCCAAGCACCCAGATCTGATACTGTTTATTCCTTTCCTGTGCCAGTAGCTAGCCAGTGCATCGGATACACGCCTTTGCACGGACGATATCGTGTCTAGTACTATGAATATCTCCTTGTCTATCTGTCGTATTGAGGGACCCAAAGACCTAGTCGTGTGGATATGCACAATGTGTCGCCCACTGTCAGTGGGGTTGGAAGCAAGTAATTCAAGCCCAGGATAAGAAAGCCCATATTTTATCCAGGTTTCCTCCACAGGCTGACCGTTTTTCTGAACATTTTCATTAGGAGAGGCATTGGGTTTCAATAGGAACAGCTTCCCCTCAGAAGTTAGCATTTTACTGATGTTTCTAAACATCATTTCATCCTCTCGGACGCTATATGGAGCCATGATAAGATCGAAGACTTCCGCGTCATTCATTATCATATCCAGGGATGCGAAATTGACGTGTGAGTAGTTTTGAAGCTCTTGTTTTCCAATCTCGAGTACTTCACTGGAGGCAGAACAGAGACAGAACGAGTTATATCTGGGATTGATCATTCTACCAAAGTAATCTACCACTGTCAGAACTTGCAAGATACTTTTCGTCAACGTTCGGTCACCAGTATCAATCTCCAGAATACGGAGATCCCCGTTCTTGTGCGCGAGCATGTCGACATACCGTTCCAGCGGCGTTTGGCTGTCACTAACATCTTGGCAGTAAGCCCAGGTAGCCTGAGGACTGAGAAGGTCTGGCTCAGGCTTGTACTTAACAAAGTGGGATAGTTGTTGATCTTGGAGGCTTTCTCTGACAGAGTCATCCTGGTGGTCCGCAATTGCCGTTGCCCGTAAATCTTCAAACTGTACCAATATAGCATCATTTGTGGGACTCAAGCTAAATCCACAGAATTCGACACTGTGTGCATCCTTTGTGCTTATGTAGGCGTATTCCTGAAGTTCCTCTGTGTCCGGGAAACTAAGCCCAGTCTTGCTAACAAATAAGTGCCGCAGAAACGTCGGGATCATTGTGGGTGCAGCCACCTTTCCTCCTCCCGAGCAAATACCAATTCCCAGGTGGAAAATGGCATCTAAGCTCGCTGGGTGTATAATATGAGCCTCTGGGAACTCATTCTCTGGCCACTGGAACAATTTCAATTTTGCTTGGACTTGCCGACTATTGAACGATCCCTCAATGACTCGATGGAAAGAGGGCCCAAGTTCTAAGCCGCTGTCATTCAACGCGGAGTAGAATTTTTGCGGATTGAGAGGTGTCTGACATGAATTTGCTATTGAAATTGCAAGATCACGACACGCATTCACCTCATCAAGCGGTTCTCTTCCACTGTCAACGTCGTTCTTATTCAGTTTGTATCTGGCACGAATAACCCCATAACGAGCATTCCAGCTCCTGGATAAATCAGCATTCCATTAACAGAATGGTCCTCCATCCAAGACATCTCCGAAATTCTTAGATAATTTCGCCACTTGGCTGCGAATTTATTCGACTCTGGGACGGGTTTGCCAACCAGGTCCAGTTTCCCCTGACCTCCGAGTCGATACTGCGAGCTTAGTCGCGATTCATTCCAATATTTCTGGGAATGGTCAAAGACATATCCTGGCAGAGAAGGCAATACCATATATTTTTCGCTAGAAACTAGACCCAGGTTGTTCACTTTCTCCATATCTATGGGATAGCCGAGGCATTTGATATAGCCTAGCGCGTTGAACGTCGAAGTCGTCGCAGCATTCTTCCGCATCAAGAGAGATGTATATCCAATCTTTGAGTTGCGCAGTGCAAGCAGTGTATCATGTATTGGACCCTGCAGTGCTGAATGGGGTCCCACCTCTACTAGTGTATCAATTCGAAAGTAGTTGCGGTGACTACCATTAATCTTTTTGCGCATATGCCGCGATGACTTCAATATGAGGGTATCCATCGCATCAACAAACCGTACTGGCGATACCATGTTTGACACCCAGTATTCGGGATCAATAAGGTCATCCTTCGTAACTCGCTGCCCCGTGACGGAAGAGCACATGGCCACCGAGTTGACGGGTTCAGTACCAGCCTTGAGGTTTTGGATTGCCCGCCTATAATCGTCCGCTACACGTAGCATGTGAGAGGAGTGATATGCAACACTCACAAGTAGCTTTCGTGAAAATACTTTTTTAGCGTCCAAGAGAGATCTCAATGCCTCAATTTGATTCGCATCCCCCGATATAGTCACGTTTCTAGGGCTATTGATGCATGCTACAGTCAAGTCGGAGACACCAAATTGAGCTGTTATTGCTTCCACATAGGGTCGGACTTCATCTTCTGATAAACCGACTGACATCATGGCTCCTTTAGGCGCGGATGGATCCGATGCCAGACGACCAGATACTTCGCCCCTGTAATAAGCGAGCTTCATAGCAGCTTCGATTGTGAAGGTCCCGACGCTATAAGCGGCTGCAATTTCCCCCGAAGAATGGCCTATCACCGCTGTCGGAAAAATGCCAAATGTAGCCAGGAGATTCAAAAGGGCAATTTGAAGAGCAGTACAGCTTGGTTGAGCAAGCTCAGCGTCGTTGATTCTCGAGCCTGTTTGCCGCATAATTTCCTCGCGGAGACGCCATGAACAACCGAGCTCTAATAATATCTCTTCCGATTGTTGCAGGCTTTGTTGAAATGCAGGGAATACCATTAGCTCACTACCCATCCCCGCCCATTGAGCACCTTGACCAGTGAACACAAACCCTAACCCTGGATTGTTCGATGACTTTATTGCAGGGCACATGATCTTATCAAGAAGTGGGAGGTCAAGTACGGAATTCACCACGGCGAAAGACTTCCAAGTCAAGGAACTTCGCCTAAATGCAAGTGTATATGCCAGATGGTCAAGATAGCTGGGTTCCAGTGAATCTGCGGTTTTGGAGAAATATCCCGCGTATGCCTTTGCCTGTCTTCGGATTCCTGCCTCATCATTGGCAGAAAATAAAAGCAGCCTTGTTGAACCTGGCTCGTAGCTAGCATCTTTGGAGATAGGGCGTTGAAGCGAAGAAGAAAGCCTGACTAGAGTTGGCTCGCAGACGGCCTTGGTTGGCGGATCTCGGACTGTAAGATGCTGCCCAGAAAGACCATATTCTTCCAGAAAGTGATAGACATCGTCAAGGACAACGTGCTATGGCCCGAATCAGCATGTTAATCACACTTTATAGAGATAGAGCTTAAATGCTTACAGAGTTGGTTCCGGCATTTCCGAAAGAATTCACGGAAGCCCGCCGAAGACCCTTGGTGGGCCATGGCATGCTCTCCAGGGGGAACTTTAGGATATTCAGCAATTGCGAATCAAGTATAGAAGGTGGTTACGGCAAACCTGAATTCTCAGAAACTCCGCGTCGATTTTTGGATTAACTTTTTCGAAATTGGTGTTGGGTGGAATGATGGCCTTTTCCAAAACTAACATAGCTTTAATAACTCCAGCGATGCCGCTTGCGCCTTCCAGGTGACCGATATTGCTTTTGACTGCACCAATCCACAGAGGGTCGTCGGTCGTACGAACCTGCCGAAAAGCAGCTCCCAAGGCCTTCGACTCAATCGGGTCACCCACAGACGTTCCGGTGCCATGTGCTTCAAAAAATCGCGTAGGCTTCATACTGAGGCCGGCTTTCTTATACGTGTCGCGTATTAGCCTCGCCTGCAAATCAGCGTTAGGTAAGGTAAGGCTTGACGTGTGTCCATCCTGGTTGCAGCCCGTGCTACGAATGATACCTCGAATTGTGTCATTATCTCGAATCGCATCTGCCACCCGCTTGAGGATGAGAACACCAAATCCTTCTCCTCTGCTGTAACCGTTCCCTCGGTGGTCGAAACTGTAACATTGCCCATCCGGGGAGAGCATATTCATATTGGATAAGGCGTGCATGGAATCCGGTGAGATAATGACATTGCATCCTGCTATAATACTCTATTTGGTATTAGCAAAAAAAAATGTATTGGATCGTATAAACCATCGTAGTGTGTACCATGTCTTCTTCACCAGTTTGCAGGCCCTGACAACCCATGTGTAGACACACCAAACTGCTAGAGCAAGCTGTATCGATATTTGCGCTGTTTCCAATGAAGTCGAAAAACCAGCTCACTCGATTAGCATTGGCTGATGCTTGTATGCCCAATGCAGTTGTTGTTTGGGCTTGCTCCCCATCTTTGTATTGTAAATGTAGCCAATCTGTAGAAAATGTACCTGAATACACGGATGTCTTGGTCCCGCGGACTTGCTCCATTGGTAGACCAGCTACGCATCCTATTAGCGTGTGGACAAATGTAAGCTTGCACTGAATAAGTCACCATTCTCAAGAGCTTTATAAGTATATTCAAGAAGCAGTCGTTGCTGTGGATCCATGCTCGCGGCATCTGTTGTCGAAGTGGCAAAAAAAGACGCATCGAAACAAGCGAGATCTTGGTGAAGAAAGTGACTGCGATTAACGGGAAACTAAACAGCAAGTCAGTGCGACATACGAGTATCGATGTCAATGTGTCCGAAGACTTACTTGGCCACGTCTGTATACATCTGGATGGTAAAAGGAGTCAATATTCATTCTATCCTTGGGTATCCCTGTCGCGGTATTCCTTTTCTTTATCATTAACTCCCATAGTGCGTCCGATGTCGTAGCTTCCTGCGGAAACGCCATTGAGAACCCGATGACAGCGATGGCCTGGAGAGGATCATGATGGCCTTGAGATCCAGAGCCATAAGAGTCATCTAGACATGAAGGATTTGCGTTTGCAGAAGAATTTTCTATTATAAGGGGAGCCATTGCTGGCGAAGATGGGAATGTCAGCTCGCGAACTTTTGACCAGGAGCACTTGATTATGGTAGAGAATTAGACATTGATTGCGTTCTCTTATAGCTCTGATTCTATACTACTTATTGAACGGCATAGGCGTGTGATAGAGTAGAGGAGATACTGTTGGTGTTCGATAAGCGCTTAATTTGTTTTCGTACTATAACAGCGTCTCGACACTTGCTGACCACCATGGATCTTGGTTTCACTGAGGATCGGAGCTGCTTTGCAGGGCTAGGACTTTCAACTCAATCGACACATAGAGCTTTTAGCAATGGCCCGCAGGAAAGTATCACATATTATTTAATTTGGATTTATTTTTATCCGGCGGCACTGCATAGTGCGGCGTAATTAATCTATAGGTAGATAGCGGTACCCCTGCATCGTATTTGTCCTACTGGCTGCATTCTCTATCGTGATTATTCCGCCAGCTTTGTATCTTCCCGTCTTTTCCAGTATCAGTGACGAAGATTCATATGAGGTGGAACAACAGCATGTATGTATTGTTGTATTTATGTTTGCGTGCTGACCATACCCAACGCGCGAATGCAACCCCCTGCTCCCATTCCGGCCAAAGCTACCCGCGCACTCTCCTCAGTGGTCCAATTTTGACAACACACTATGTGGACACCCTCCTTCGGCGACTATCCTGGATATCGTCTTAATTAATGAAGTGCAGTGGTGATAAAAATACTGTTTACTGCATAAGAGACCCCATTTCGCGCTATAGTTCACTAAGCTTAGACATCTGGCGAAGTCTCACGGAAGTTTTGAGCCGATCTGCAAGCCTAGAACACCAGATGTAACCACTTGCGCGCCATTTATCTAGCCTTCTGCGCGGCAATATATACAAGTTGACAGGTTCACAGGGAAAGTAATGTCGATTCGGGCGGAAATGGAATTTCCCTGAGTCATGTCAGATAGGTCGGCGGCCTGACGCTAACATAGCGCAAGATAACCGAAATTCAGACAAACACTTTGATCCCGGTGTAAGATTCACGGTAACTGTACGTACGAGGAGGTCATAGAAAAGTTCTCGTTCAATGTTTCTTTGGGAGCCTTTGCTAAAAGTCTCTATTGCAGTGCTAATCTGATATCAGCGACTCCAATCCCATGGCAGAGTTTCTATAAGTGACCAGGCATCTCAGCCTTTTCAATCGTTCTATTAATGAGCCGTACACTAGCCAGCAAATACTCCTGAGCTCTTACCCCTGGAACTGTATGGCCCTCATCATGGAGCAGGAGAAGCCGTAATTCCGGATCACACAATCCATACAGCGTTTCGCTACAATTTGCCCAAAGCGTATCGTTACGGCCCCAAATATGTGCTGTTGGCAACCCTGCCAGCATCTGATCCCCCTCTACCTGAGGGTCTAAGAAACGTGCATGTCCACTGTCTAAAGCTCGTGGGTCTGTAGGGTTGATGGAGCTTAAGAATATGGCACATTTGAATGGTAACGGAGTCATCGGGTGCAATATGGTCTGTTGGATCAGAAAAGTGGATGCGAGACAGCCACCCTGGGAAAATGCAATGATGCCGTCGTACGGGCCATTACTTTCAATAAATGCTGATAGGTCATCCAGCGCTTGCTTAACACTTTCCACGGAATCAGGCGAGAAGTAGTCAAAATATTCCCCTTTCATAGGGAAAAAGGGTCGAAGCTCTGGGAAGTTTCCTGGGTCAGCGGTCATTGTCGTCAGTAAACGTACATTGCGCACACATACCAGGATCTAACGGCACAGCAATAACCCCTTCAACATAATCGTACTCGTGGAAGCTGTCCAATTCTTGACACAAGGCTGCTAGAATAGTGTATACATTCAGCTTCGAACATAAATCTCTTTTGAGGATTATAACTCACCAATTTGAGTCTCCATAATCTAATCAGTCAGTAAGTATTGGTCAATTTGGTGAGAAATTTGTTTTTATGATGAGATCCTACCTGACTGTTCGAGCCTTTGCCGTGGAAACACAAGAAGCGCATTACCGATGGTTTAAGACACGCAAATTATATAAGCCCAAGACTGTATTGATGATCAAAATTTTCAGACTGTCCAGAGTGTACTGTCGAAGGCTACTGCTATGTATGCGAAGCACCTTAAGACCGCTTTATAGGACTTTGTCGCGGGGCCTTGATTTCACACTGTCGATGATGGTACACCCCCCTGCCAGGAAGATAATAGTCATATCTAGGTTGGTTGTGGGTATTCTTTCTTCCCTTGAAGTGTGGCCTCGTCATGGTTTGTTCCTTGCAATAGTAGTCCACTAGCCCCAATAATACTGTGCCAGGGGCATCAGCAAAGTGGATCCTGGATAATCAATTTAGTTGGAAGTATGTTATATGACTTTGCGATAAATCATGCGGTTGGTTTTGTGTACTACGGTTGGCCCCATATACTTAATCAATAGTTTGCCGATTTCAGAGGGAGGCGCTCCCAACTTTCAAGACATTGGTGTGGAGTTTATCAGCCTATCTCTTTCAAGAATTATTAGGCATAGATACTGCCATCTTTCATCGTCGAGGACACAGAGATAAAACAATACAGCATATAAGGGATCCCACCTCTTCCTTATGAATATTGCGCTTCACATCTATTTAGCCGGTCCTTGATTACAACAATAGATTTCTGGGCAATGGCAAACCCTCCGTCTTATTCGGAAGAATATCTTCGGCAGACCCAACAGCCCGTGATGTATGGCGTTTGCTCAGCTCTCATAGTCATCGAGACCCTTGCGGTGGCAATACGCTTTGTGTCAAAGGTAGTAGGTCGTTTGAGATGGGGAGTCGATGATTTATTTATCGTTCTAGGGCTTTTGGTCAATTTAGCAATTGTTACTTGCGTCATAGGTAAACAGGATCTCTCTCCGGCCCCCTTTATTTTCTTGCGGCTCATATCTAGGTAGTGGACGCAAAATATGGTGGTGTTGGTCTACATGAAGCTCGAGTACTACAAATTAATCCCGGCATGCTTACTATTTGGGGGCATATGATTATCATAATCCCTATCCTGTATCTGGCCGCTGTGGTTCCCCCCAAGCTAGTTCTCCTGCATCTATACTTGTCTATCTTCATACAAAAAGCGTTTCGCTGGAGTTGTTACGGAATTGCAGGTGTGGTGTTGACGAATTGGTTCGCCAATACCATTGCCGCGTTTGTTTCATGCCAACCATTGAGCTTCTACTGGACCCAAGAAGGGCGCTGCTTCGACATCAACCAGTTCTTTCGTTGGGGTTCATTCGTCAATATTGTGACTGATGTAGTAATGTTGATTCTACCGATACCGTCAATTTTGGGACTCCAGGTATCATTACGGTTGAGATTGGGTATCCTCGCGACCTTCATCCTCGGCAGCCTGTATGTTGCAGTTGAATCCCCCATTAATATATTTCTTTTAACAACATACAGTGGTCTAATAACTTCAATTGTTCGCTTCTATGAGTTCTACGCTACCAATGCAGAGGTCGATGGGACTTGGTCGGGTGCCACCTTGGATGTGTGGTCAGCTATTGAACCGGGCATTTATCTCATCACCGCGTGTATCCCCAGTTATCGGCCACTTGTCCGGTTTTTCCAGAAGAACCAAGGAACCGTGCTATCAAGGCCCAGCGACCCTGGGGGCTCCGTTGGAGGATTGCAAAGTCGATTAAGCCCAACATACGAAGTGACAACGGCGGGACGATTTAAACGTCTAGGCAGTTATAAAAACATGGAAGAGGATGCTGTCGGACTAGTTGACGTGAGGGTGCACCATTCGAGAGTTGAGGCAGGAAAAATAATGGTTGATCGCGAGTTTGATGTCCGCAGAGATTGACGTGTCTGAGATGAATTATTATATGGGTGTCAGTTGTGTAGCGAGCAGGCCTTTCAACTGCGTAACTACTTTTCCTCATTTTTTTCTTCGTGTCTTTTTGCCGAAAATCAGCGCTGCCCTGGCCGGTATGTGAGAAATGATATCACATGATTTCGAGCGAATACGGAACGTTCGCGCTACCTTACTATACGTATTTATCACAAAGCCTTATTAAGGAAATCTCTTTTTCGGTCGAGTGGTAGCATATGTTCCGATACGTTGCGACATGCCTCGACTAAATTTGCGACATGCCTCGACTAAATTAGTGTCCGTCAATCTCCCGAGGGCGGGGTCCAATTAGGAAGGCATGACAACCACGGGATATCCCGCCGTGGAAGGTTCCTAGGGCTTAGGGTTCAAGGAAGTCCCAGAACGGCACCACGACGGACCGAGCTCAGCCTGCAAGATATACGACCGTCACGGTCATGACTTACCAATAATTAATTGTTGTTGGGGGCTGGAAGCCACAGGGATACATTAGGGTTCGAGAGCCCTTTATTGATACATGCTTGAGAACCTGTACGATTGATTGATATGAGAGAATCTGGGATTCCCCACCGAGCAGTTTGTCTTGTGCTTGTCTTTTTGACCCAAAGGGCGGAAGGCCGGGAACCCCAGTTACCCTACTCCGCACATCTAGTCCGTAACAATTATAATCTATCATCATATTCCATATTTTAGGTAGTATTCTATATATAGTAGACTATTTGCTTTCAAAAATAAGCTGTTATATACTTGGTATGACTGTTTTGATCTATAATAAGCCTAAACCACAGTGTGTATATAACTTTGTTGAGATAGAGCGATGATAAGAATGGATATTTGTATGGGAGGTTACAGAGCTTGGTGGATTAAATTAGTTGGATAATATAAAAAACATCGCCGACTCGCCCAGCATGGGATTGATTAGGAGTGATAAACCACATCGGAGCAACTAGCTATTGCCAGGTGTTGGAATGAGGGGCTGGAAATCTCCAGAAAATAACTGTATATTATTAAGCACGGGTGCTATAACTATGCTTGACTTACTAACTTACTAGTAATACACCCTGTCAAATAGTTAACTAAGTTATACTCCGTACTTGGCTCTGATTTTCTCTGATACATTCCACACACGAGGATCCCTGTTACCCTCCTATACAGAGAGTGCATGTCAGTAGTACTCTCCAACTAGGAGTACCCTGTACTTTTTTCTAGTCTCTAACGTCTTAAATGTCTGGGTTTATCCGGCAGGAGGTGGTTGACCTGATCACGGTTACTATTTGACGGGCACAATGCTAGCGGCGCTAAGCTGTGAGCTATATATGTATGTTACTAGGCATTATGCGGTTACATCCCGTAAATTACCTCGGACAGTATATTTATGATCTAGCCTTTGTAGATTCCGTTATGAGCTGACACTCGGTCGCGCGCTACTACTAGTTAGCACGAGCACGAGGGACCCATTACAGTATACTCGAACATAGCTGCTGCTCCCACTTTTCCTTTGTCTGTCTGGATGACTGTGCTGCCTACGTATGGATACCTACCTGACCCCATTCCGTAATCTGGCACCCAATATTATATAGTCTTCCATCAGCATCGTTCAGATTTTCATTCCCTCTAAACCCAAGCAGTAAGATTCTAAGACTATCATTGAAAGAGCATTTCTTCATCATGCATCTGAATCCCGAAGAATTCAATCCTCGTGTCCAGTTAATCCCCCATGCTTTTGATCATTATGCGAGAGTGAAACCGGACGCGATCTACGCGGAATATACGGTCTCTCCCCTCAGCTATGAACACGGTTATCGCCCCATTACCTTCAGTGACTTTTCCAACGCTGTCAATGGCTTAGCGTGGTGGCTAACAGAGACCCTCGGCCCCGGAGATGGGGAGACGCTGCCTTACATCGGTTTGAATGACGTGAGATATCCAGCCTTGATCATAGCAGCTGTGAAAGCGGGCTACTGTGTGCGTAGAAAACTTCTCCTATATCAAGAACAAACTCTTCTTTTCGCTCCACGAGATTTAACAGAATTAGATATTCGTTACATCGCCGCGCAACAGTGTAGCCGCGCAGGATCACTTGTTTAAGCAATTAAACTGCACGAAACTCCTGACACCGGCTCCCAGGCCTCCACCTGTGGCAGCTCTTGTAGAAAATTTGAAGATGGATTTTTTTGAAATTCCCAGTGTCGCTGATTTGCTTAGCAAGAAGTACCCTGAGTTCGAATATAGTCGTACTTATCCGGATCATGTACAAGACAAAGTTGTTGTTATGTAAGTGAACCCATGGTATACTGCGAATCTGGTCTAATTCTCCAAGTCACACATCGGGCTCCACTGGTATGCCAAAGCCTTTATTTTACACTCACGATTCGTTCCACAAGACTCTGGAAATGGGTAATCTCAGTGCCCCGGAGGGTTATGAATCTCAGAACGACTATATGCATGGTAAGCGCATGTTCTTGACATTGCCCGCGTTTCATGTAAGCCACTCCCTCCAGTTCAATTGTATAATGGAAAGACTTACTCAGTGTTCTAGGCGGCCGGTGTGGCATTCATGATATCAACAAGCCTTGCCATGGAGATCACATTGATTATCCCAACAACAGGTGGTCTTCCAACCGCAACAGCGCTTGCTCAAGCTGCGAAACTCACTCGCATCGAGTGTGCTTTCGTTGTTCCATCCATAGTACAAGAGCTAGCCCAAGACTCTGAGCTCTTAGCCGATTGTAGTGAACACCTGAATCTTCTAGCGTATTGCGGTGGTGATCTGCCACAGTCTATTGGCGATATCGTAGCCTCTAAAATCAGACTGGTCAATCAATACGGTGCCTCTGAGGTCGCATTACTGCACTCAATTCACTCAAAGACAAATCGAGATCCTCGCAAAGATTGGCGTTATGTTCATTTTCACCCACAGACAGGGACCGAATTTCGTCCTGTCACAGACGGTGAATCCGAATTAGTTGTGGTACGGAGCCCGGAGAAACAGAAATATCAGGTGCCTTTCACTATGTATCCTGACCGGCAAGAATATCACACAAACGATCTCTGGATACGCCATCCTGATCCACATAAAACTGATTTATGGCGCTGGAGCTCTCGAATGGATGATATAATTGTGCTTCTAAATGGGGAGAAAACAAATCCGATATCGATGGAACAGCATATAGTTGCTTCCAATGCCGAGATTTCAGGAGCTCTAGTGGCAGGKGCACAGCGATTCCAGGCCTGTCTCATAATTGAGCTCAGTGCAGATTACCTAACGAGCTTGGGAACAAGTTACCAGGGTAATCCGGGTGAGCGCATGGCGATGATCGAGAGATTTTGGCCCAGTATTGCCGAAGCAAATGCCTCGTGTCCCGCCCATGCTCGCATCGCGAAGACTCACATTCTGTTCACGAGTCCAGACAGACCGATGCTTCGCACTGGCAAGGGCACAGTTCAGCGAGCTGGAACATTGAGGCTGTATGCTCAAGAGCTAGACGAATTGTATGATCTTGCTGAAAAGCTGGTCTCAACAGAAGACAGCGAGACTAGGGGCCCTGGTTCGACTGATGATACCCAGGAGCTTTCACAATATATTGTTCAAACGTTGTCAAATATCACGAAGTGGAATCCGAACGAAATCAACGAGACAGACAATTTCTTTTCTCTTGGTCTTGACTCACTGCAAGCTATTACTGCGTCACGCCGGTTTAGATATGGCCTGGATTTTCCCCGCTTCACACCGAATTTGATTTACCTTAATCCTTCCGTTGAAAAGCTTGCACAAGCAATTCGCCAGGCAAGGAATGACATCAAAATTTCGGAAGAGATCCAGGTAGAAACCCAGCTTAAAGAGAGAAACGACATTCTTCTCGAGTATGCTCAAAAGATCAACACTGTCCCAAAACATACGGTTATTTTGACAGGCTCAACTGGTAACCTTGGTACATACATCTTGAATGTCCTACTTCATCATCCTTCTGTGGCGCATATTCATTGTCTAAATCGAAGAGTTCCTACTACCGATAGCACGTCATATGGCAATCATTTCGACCCGGAACGGGTTAGCTTCTGGAAAACAGATATTTCTCACAATGATCTAGGGTTATGCCCAGAGGTCTTGGAAAAGTTAAAGGAAGAAACTACGTTGATCATTCATAATGCTTGGGCCGTGAACTTCAATCTATCCCTTTCTTCTTTCAAGCCCCACCTTTCAGGCGTGGTCAATTTGATTAATTTCTGCCTGTCAGCTGCCAAATCCCCGCATTTCTTCTTTCTCTCCTCAGTTACCTCTGTTTTGGGTCATCAGATCGATTCGTATAGCATTCCAGAGGCAGTCATTGAAACAAATTCTCCCGCGCCTAACGGCTACGGCAGCAGCAAATATATAGCCGAACAACTGCTTCTTCATGCTGCGCGAAGTAGTTCTTCTACAAGCATGTCACTCGCTCGAGTCGGACAAGTCGCGGGTGCCGTTCAATCACCCGGTCTATGGAACAAGAGCGAATGGTTGCCAAGCCTCATTCTGAGCTCATTGCATGTCGGTGCCATCCCAGATAATATTGGCATTACTCTCGGCCATATCGACTGGATGCCTGTCGATTCTTTAGCAGAGGTGCTTGTGGAGTTGGCTTTGAGGAATGACCCCGCTATTCCAGACAGACCTGTCAATGTTTTCCACCCGATGAATCAACATCCTCTTACCTGGGGAGACATTCGTGACTTATTTTCCAAGGCTCTCTCGCGGCGCTCCGGTAAAAAGATTAAGACAATTCCGCTCGCGGATTGGATTCAACTAGTACGAAGCGATATAGAGTCCGCTTCGAGGGATGTGGACTTAAAGGCGCTGTTGGCTGTGAACCCGGCTGCTAAGTTACTGGATTTCTTTGATGATGCATTAAACAGTCAGTCAGCGGGCTATTCGTTGGATGCTACTATAACAGCTGAACGGAGCGAGAAGCTACGAAATGTCAGTGCAATTAAACCTGAATGGATTGAAAAGTGGGTTACAGAATGGTTGCAGTGATGATATCAGGCTATTCCCTACAATTACCTTGCTCATTCAGATTGTCTTCTTTGCTTAGTCGCTTGTTATTATTCTTTTTAACTTGAATCTATCGAACTCAAGCTAAATAGCTTAGGATCACTAAGATCTAACGATATGTAGAAGCCTGCTCCAGCCCGTGAAATTAGGAATAATGATAAAATTTAGATTCATTTGAATTTGTTTTCCGTTCACTGTGCGGAAATAAAGAAATTAGCATCAAGCCTATCAATACAATGCCGTCAACTACAGCCCCAACCTACGGCAGCCTATTTGTATTGATTTTTTCGCCAGATGATAGCGCACTGTAGTATCACAGAGCTGTTACCAGGCATTATTGGGCTCTTATCCATATATTTCCACTATTGTAGCTAATATGCGGATTCAAACAAGAGCCATCCCTAACTGTGGCTTAAGTCTCATGCTGACTCTTTTCCACATCTGAGTTCACCGGCGCTAGCTGATTCGCATTTTGAATTACTGCCGCTACATACTCCCCATCACTTTCGTCTACACCTCCAATGAAAAGGCACAAAATGAGCGCGAGCCCTCCGAAGCCTAGCGTAGAAAGGAAAACAGTACTATAAGCCTGCGCACTGCCCCTTTGGTATGCAACATCAATCAACGGGATAGTACTAGAATTCAAGCCGCTGATATCAGTGACGTTGCGAAGGAACGAATAGCCATCATTCAGGGCCGCAACCAATTGTGGCACTGAGGACTCCGGGATACCGGCAGACAAAGCAGCCGTCTTGACGGCGGCAGGAACAGTCTGACTGAGTCGATTGTTTAATATAGTGCTGTACATGGCGACTGCAATCGATGTACCTGCTAGACGAATGCATCCACTGAGCCCACCGGCAGTCCCCAACCGTTCCTGGCTTTTGATTGGGAATGTTGTCATCGGTAATGCAATCCCATCAGCCATGCCGATAATCAGATTGCCAGTAACGAGTAGGCCCACGGTAAGGTCCATGTTTAAAGGCATTGCTGCCACGGCTGCTAACAGGCCAGTCCCAATGAATGACCCCACGATTACCAGTGACTTGGCTGGTAGCCAATTGGCGCAGAACGGACCTGACATTTGACCCAGGACAAATGACATGGTGACTAGAGCAGATATGGTTGCAGTGTCGTTTTGACTGAGATTGGGGTACAGAACAGGCACGGCCTTGGGCCAAATGATCCTGATTTAACGAACATTGTTAGCACCCAAATTGCCTAAGGTAGACATAAACAAAACCTACCCGAATGCATAAAAGGTCATTGCTGCAATTGCACACCATATAACACAAGAGGTATATTTGATGTTTCTGAAAAGGTCCAGCGGCAGATATGGTTCTTCTAGTGGCATAAATAGCTCATATAGCACGCAAATGGCGAGAGTGACGAAACCCGACAGCAGGGTTCCAAGAACATATCCACTCTTCCATGGGTACAAGGACTTTAAGCTGATTAGCTGATTGATTTTTGTCACCTAGTAGTTGACATAAAAGACTTACACCGCCCCAGTTGAGACCCATCAGTAGAAGAATCATCCCAGCTGAAAAGAGAACGAGACCAATGAAGTCGAAGTCCATAATCAAGTGTTTCGCCTTTTTCGTTCGGTGCAACATGTGAAATGTGGGTGGGTGGTAAAAGAAGAACCATAGTAGCACTGATAGTGCGTTCATAGCGGTTAAGTAGTAGAAACACCCACGCCATTTCACAGATGTATTGTTCTGAATAGTGGCAGCAATCTTGGGGCCAAGGGTATTCTGAGCAAGCCTCCATTAGCCATCCAAGCCTTTGTGGAGTTGGGGAGGAGTGAAAGGGGTGCGGATTTACTGTTGGTAAAGTCCAGAGAAACAGTCCAGCATTGGCAATAAACCGTCTTTTCATAGGAACGATTTCGGCCACAACCCAAAAGAAAGAGCACTGAAATCCAGCTGCGATCCCAATCAACGTTTCCCCCGCAATGAGCTGCTCGAGTGAGCCCGACGTGCCACCGACGATGCTTCCAATCAGCCCGATGCAGGAACCGATAATAAAAAACCAGCGACGACCAAATATGTCGCTTAATCGCCCAGCGAGCATAAGGACAACGGCCTGAGCTAGCGAATATACGATGCCGACCCAATTGACATTGCTGGATCCATACTCTGGTTTGTCCACGTTAGTGACGGATCGCTGTGACTGTCTCACTCGTGTTAATAAAGGTAATATACCTCCTAGATCACGACTAATGTCATTTAATATTGGTGCCACCAAGGCAAATCCTCCTGTTCCACAGGCAAATGCTAGTCCTATGGCCTATTCGACGATAAGTCAGACTATAACGCGCAAATTCGCGACGGTGACAGACAAATACATACACAGTAGCTTCCAATAAAGTACGGACTGTAGAAATATCCGACCGGCAACTGATTTTGATCTTTTCCTTGGGCTTCCGGACGACGGTCACTTTCTTTCATCCCATTTGTGATTGTACCGGTAGCAGCTTCCACGTGCAAGGCTTGCTGTAACTCCCCGTCTTTCAACTTTTGAGAGGACATATTTGATTTACCTCGATTTCAAGATCGCAAGTCTGCATAGATCACGAGTGGTAGCTGTGTTCTAGCTGTTATAGCAAACATTTTATAGCCCAAATAGTTGCGCTTATGCATGTCGCATGGGTCTTGGTGTGGACTATCTAACCCCGGATATTCCCCGCAATCTATGAAACTCTGAGTTTTGCTCCGTGTATGTGTCATGAACCGGAATAATCCCGAGCCAGCCCGCGGGATAGCGGCTCCATATCCGACACGATCTGATCCCCCATGGTAAACTTCAAAAGAAAGAAAATGAAAAAAAAAGCCATTAGTGGGAAGAGCGATGGCACATGCCTCCTTTATTGCGTGTGCTTCTCGTTAAGCAGCTGGTGACCTATCCAGAATACTGCCTTCACATGTTCTAGTTCCAAATAGCCGTTGTTCGAGTGTGTTAGGGTTTCATAAAGCTACCGAAATCGACTTAATAGGAAAAGTTTACCCTCCATTCTATATTTATAGACTCAATAGAAGCTGAAAAGCTGTTCGACCCATGTAGCTGGCACTAAATTCCATGATACGCGGTATTTTTGAACGATGCTCGCATTATCCATTGCTTAGAAAATGTAACTCAGTAGTGAAACTAGCACATGGTGTCATATATGTGCAATTTTTTAGTCTGGTTTGATACGTGTAGCATTCTATACCCTATATTTTATGTACTAGAAATTATCGGTCGTGTATTTAAAATAAAGCTTCAGACCTACTTCGGTATTAAGCAAACTCAACCCCATTTCTTAGACTCCCAATCTTGGAAATGCAGACTTCCATCTGTGTACCTGGTTGTAGCCATATTGGTGGATTCATATCCCCTCCTACTCCTATATCGAGAGAGCAAATATGTTAGAGTTGGAGTCGTCCTACGGACTTTAGGAGACAAACACATACCACCGGGTGTACCTGTCAAAATCACACTACCCTTCTGCAGAGTCGTGCCATTCGACAGGTATGAGATGAGATAACGCAGTCAAAGAGCATATTTGCTCCCAACCCATCCTGTCGAACTTCGCCGTCGACTTTCGTCGTGAGACGCAGCCTTTTGGGGTCTTCGACTAGGCTGCTAGCCAATAGACATGGGTCCATGGGCGCGTAAGTGTCAACCCCCTTAGAAAAACCCCATTGGGGAACTCGCCCGGCAAAAATAGGGTCGCGCTGGAGTTTACGAGACGATATGTCATTGCCTACTGTATAGCCAGCGACATAATCCAGAGAATCTTCTTTCGAAACGTCTTTGGCATCTTTACCAATGACAATTGTCTTGATACGCGGAGTCAGTTTGACAGATAGAGGTGCAATCAAACGATAGGGAAACAGATCCAGCCATATCATTTTCTCACTCATAATCAGCTTGGTCATCCCGGGTGATTGTTGGAATAACCAGGTTGTCACCATGATCTAGAATCGACGTTTGGGGCTTGAAGAAGATAAATGGAAACGGAGACTGCGTTCTCTTAGCTTCCTGGACTATAACGGTCAGTCTCATCTTTTAGCCTTAGATTCACTGAATCTTCCCTCACTATGTTTAATATAATCCAGACCGACACAGCGAAGAATGGGCACTTCAGACGATGCTAGCGGAGACAGGATTCTTTTTACCGTTACCACTTCATCGGATACTCGAATTGCACCGTTCTCATCGAAAGGATCTTCGCCGACAATGATTTGTGCTTGTAACTGATCCTTCTTTGTCACGTATCCTAGGTCGAGGTCCGGGTGAGGCAGAATGGGCTCGCCTCGAAGGACTTTGCCATCCGTAGTCTCGAATCTAATCAATCTTTGCCACGGGAGTTTCATTGCAACGTTTGATTATTAATTTCATATGCTTTCTTGCTTTGCTAGTTCTGGTTGAGATATTTTAACGAATAAAACTCGGATTCTCGCTGGTATTGTCGTCGTGGTCGAGTTTGCGGGCACTGCACCGCGGACTCTTCCGCGGACATCAATCCGGCAATATACGTGCCTCATGGAAACCTTTTTGGTAAATTGTCAACCTCAACGAATGACTGATAAATGCTTTAATACCAGATTAGCCAAAAGCCAAAGAGTCTTAAGGTTCTTTCTCCTGACCAGCCTGAATTCTAAAACCACCTCGCGATATCATTTCGATTACTTCTTAATAGAACGAGAATGGCTACCAAAACAGAGACTGTTACCACGCAAATTATCTTGCATGAGTCGAATACTGGCCCTGAAGAAATAAATCTGCCTGAAGAGCTAGCTCTGGCTGTGGGAGATCTCCACACGGAGCCTCTATGGACACGAATGGCTACACTGAACCCACCTTTACCAAACCCTAGTTGCGTGCCACATGTCTGGCGTTACGATCAGATCCGGCCCAGCTTGTTAAGAGCCGGTGATCCGGTCGGCGAGAGCCAGGCTGAGAGGAGAGTATTGATATTGGTGAACCCTGCTCGAGGCAAAATGCCCGTGTGATTCTTTTGCCTTCAATTTGAAAGTTGACGAGTGAAACATTCATACAGATGCCCCTTACACTATTGATACTCTTTACGCTGGGTTACAGATAGTAATGCCCAATGAATCTACACGAGTTCATCACCACACCACATTCACTATGAGGTTTATTATCGAAGGGCATGGAGCGTTCACTGCGGTACACGAACAGCGCATTTCGATACAGCGCGGCGACGTTATTCTAACTCCGCGCTGGAACTGGCATGATCATGGAAAAGATAGTTCAGGGCCGATGATAGGGTTGGACGGGCTTGACCTACCAAATTTCCGGCATTTTCCTGTTCATTTTGCTGAGCATTATCAGCATCCACGATACCCGGCTGACGATGTTGATTCCAATGCATCGTCAATGGTATTTCCTTGGACGGAGATGAAACAGATTCTAGACGAGACCTTGTGAAATTGGGCATCTAAAGACTATTTAAGGAGTGATGGACAACATGGTATGTCTGATTTCCTCAAAATTGTAGATTCCAACCAGGAGGAATGAACTAATGCCTTGGAACACAGTCTCTAAAGTCCTCGGAGGATCTGCCGAGCGACTCAAGGCCGGAAAAAAACTCACCAGGAATTCGAGAGACTGCATCTTCGGTGTATCATGTGGTGTCTGGACGAGGTTATTCTATCATTGGAGAAAATGAGCGCATTGCATGGGGACCGGGAGACACATTTTGCATTCCATTCTGGCAGCAATACCAGCATTTCGAAAACTCCAAAGGACAAGAGTAAGTTTATTTGTATCGCTTCCATGACAAACCGGTGCTAAACGCTCTAGGATTCTATCGCCTGGATGGGGTCGGCTTGGAGACCTTGGTGTCTGACTAATTGTCTCCTGGCTGCTTCTTCTCAACGTTCCGCTTTGCGACCTAACAGGGGTCAATTCCATTTGTATATTGAAGCTACTGGCTTCTGAAAACTGGTTTGAAAGAGAAGTATAGACGCATAAAATTTTATCTACTGCTAGTATCGTTTAGTCCTTGCCCTAGTTCCAAATTGCCCAGGTGGTATGGAAGCTTTCGTTTGACGGATATTTTAATTCATGGCAAACTAGACTACAAGAGGTCCTAAAACTCTTTGCAACCTAGGTGCTGATCTAATCAAGCATGAAAAGAGGAAATACTATGTATTTGATTGTTTGCATTGTTTGTTCATTCCCTGTGGTTATCTTCGGCTTCTTCCCGCGGGATCGCATTTCAGTCAATCATCATCTCTTTCGCCGCACAATCTGTCAATCGAAATCACTACTCTAGCCTCTCCAAAGACTAGTTACTGAAAGTAATTGAAGTTATATTAACACGAAATGCTTGCAAATACCCCGGCGGCTCCCCCGCGCCAACAACAGGAGCGTAAACGACGCCGGGTCACCCAGGCATGCATATCTTGTCGAACACGAAAGTCTCGAGTATGGCCGACTTCTCTCTTTCTCTTTACATCCGGCTAAACTAAATCAATTTAGTGTACGGGACAGCGGCCGAAGTGTAGCACCTGTTCCGAATTAGGGCTGACGTGCCAATATGTCACACCTGGGCAGGCGGATCAGACCATTGTGGTAGGAAAAGAGTAAGGCAACCAGCCCTAAAGCCGTTGCCTTTGTATTCTGCTGAGCCAATATGACACATGTAGACACTTTCAAGCGATTGAAGACCGTCTAAACCATCTCGAGTCCCTGCTTGACGAAGGTGCAAACAATGGACAGAGCTCCAAGAGTTCATGGAATGCCCCGGACACGGCCGAGAACGAGGATCACCATTCCAATGCTCCTAACCTCACTTCTATAAGTGACGATCCTATCACTGGTTCGCTGGCGTCTGACGATCCTACAGATGGAATGGGGCATTTTGTATTTGCCGATGAGGAGGATCGCGCCTACTTTGGTATGCTCTCTTTTTTTCCCTACTCTGCTAGCCATTCAAGGAACTGACGTTGTTCTCATTTATTCTACAGGTGCTTCATCAAACATCGCCTTCACGTCTGATTTATCTCGAACGCTGAAACGCATGTCGCGTTCCGGTAACTGGGCCTCACCCGGCTACCAGCAAACGAGGCTGCCAGATTTTCACATTGCGCGAGTCTCTCGGCCAAGCTCGCCCATGCCATGCGCTGCACAATGGTTAACAGATGCTCATCAGGGCATTGCATCAACATCATCAATTTTCTACCTGCCCCCGGATCAGGAAACGTCAATTCTGATCGACCAGTACTTTGCCAATACAGGATTGCTCTTCCCGTATCTCCACGAAGAGACCTTTCGTGAAACATATGCCCAGCTAAAGCATGACAATGCAGCGACACGCCGTACATGGCTGGGGGTTCTGAATATGGTACTCGCTATGGCTACGCACGCCACGGTGCTGCAAGTAGGTCAGGCTGAACGCAAAAGACAATCTGAAGCATTTTATCGACGCGCCAATGGTCTTTGCGCTGAGCATATGATGAATGGCGCAAGTGTAGAAATCGGTTAGTTTTGCCCTCACAGATCCTATATCAAATTCATCGTTATGTTAATATCAACACAGTGCAGTTCCTACTTCTTGTCAGTCAGTACATGCAAGGGACCAGGTCATCTATTCAAACGTGGGCCACACATGGTCTCGCTGTCAAAGTAGCGTTCCAACTTGGGCTTCATTCGGCAGAAGCCTCCAAGCGATTTTCCGCTGTTGAGCGCGAAATCCGGAAGCGGACATGGTTCGGTTGTATTATTCTCGATCGGTACGTCGTCAAGTAGTACCCACAAGTTAGAACCCTAACGGTTGTCTCATTTTGCACTTTTAGAAGTCTGAGCATGACATTTGGCCGTCCTGCTTCAATTCCTGAGCACTATTCTCGACTCGAATTGCCTATATATTTTGATACGATCGAAAGTCGTGAACGTCAGGTTGAGGCACGACAGCGGTGCCGATATAGTACAGATTTTTTCAATGCTACGATGTAAGTCTGTCTTGACTAAATCATTAAGCGCTCAAATTGTCGATGGTAGGAGACTGATCACTAGAATTTTTCGATATGTAGTCGACTTTATTCCATCCTAGGCAAGGTCATTGACCTCCTCTACGATGGCAACTTAGGCAGCGAGGCCAAAATTCCTAATTACGAGTTGATGACTCGCATGCTACGCATGCGACACTTTCTCGATGAATGGTCTGAACAGCTGCCCAAATATATGGGGATTATTCAGGCACAGAATTATATCTCCGGGCTCAGCAATGACCCAGCAATCGATCGATTCCGCGCAATTCTTACCCTTCGATATCACAATATCCGGCTTCTGATCCACCGGGTGGTTCTTGTTCGGCTTTGTGACTCACTTGGCGATTTTGATGCGCCGAACCAGGATATCCTCGCTCTACAAGATGTGGCCTGGAGCACGTTACAGATTGCTACAGAGTCTGCATCAGAAATCATTAACATTGTCCTCGCTGTCGTGGAATCTGATTGGGTGCGACGGGGGTTGTTGGGCGCCTGGTGGTTTACACTTTATTACAGTCTGTCATTCTGTACTACTGAACATCACTCTGTCCATTTCTGACCTTTTCTGTTACAGCATTCGACGCCGCCTTGGTTTTATTCACCATCTTCTTGCTCGTGAAACGATCCGCCTTTCTCAACCCCTGCCCTCCGTGCACTACCCCAGAGTTACTTAAGCAGACATTTGTTAGCTGTATAGAACCTCTGCGGCGGCTGGACGAGGGAAATAGGACGATTGATAAGTGTTGCTGGTGTTTGCAGAGGTTAACAGAGGCATGGGATATTATTGGTATGACGTTTCTCTCATCTATTCAGATGACCATTGCTGGAATATTCAACTAATACGTTCGGTCACTAAAAAGAAATAAGCAATGATCGATCCATCCTCCAAAATAGTACACTGCTTACGCAACTCAATGATCATTATCGTAAGCACGATAGCTCTCTCTCAGTCGAGCAAGTTGTGAACCAGGACCTCTCGTTTTTGGATTTTAATTTCATGGCCAATGAGCTAATCGATGTTACAGATGGGTTTATTCAGGCTTGAGATATCTAGTTGGAAGTTTTTATCTTTTAATCCTATGGCTGAAGTCTATGTCGTCATTCAGACTATGTAAGTACACCCAGACATAGTTTAAAAGTCCATATTGTGAGGAATCGAAATTTATGAACATTTCAACGTCAGTGTTCTACACCGAACACATTGATCAAACTGCGAATCGAGCCAGTCAAGTAGATGCCCAAGAATTTTCGGTGCCTGGCTTGTGAAAAGGAGTGTTAATCTTCTGATTTCCCCATTCTACCCTTTCAGACTGTCAAGAGTATAGGTCGTCTAGGTAAATATAGCAATGACCCTATATAGTAAGGCTGTTTGTAACTGCTTCTTTACTGCTCTAGTGGACTTCGGGATGTTCCCGAAAATGCCGCGGGTCGGCTTTTGTCGGATAAATACATTTACACATGGGTTACAACAAGCCGGAGAACGAGTAAAATCAACAAAGGCCAAAGCCATATATACACAGATTTCACCAATATCCAAGACAGACAAAGGTCATTGTAATATCTCATATCGTCCACATCCAATGGATCTTTCGCAGCAGCAACTATGTGCCTGGGTGGAAACACCTGGACCAGACGCGAAAATCGAATTTCGGGATATCGAAGTACCCAAACCCGGCCCCAACGAAGTTCTGGTTAGGCTAGAGGTTTCTGGTGTCTGGTTAGTATGGTGCAAAACAGAAATTAGTAAAAGATCAAGTCTAATAATATCTGTGAAGTCACTCGGACCATCATTCGATTTACGGAAATACGCCAATGACGACCCATATTGCTGGGCACGAGGGCGTAGGAATCGTCGTTGCAGGTGTGCTCTCCTCATATCCTATCTTGATTAATTTCTATAAATGATGCATATATCTAAAAAAAAAAAATGGGGGCGGTAGTTGGGCCTGATGTTTCTGACGATTTCCTCCACGGTCGAGTAGGAGTATCGTATGTGTATCGAGCTCTGGCATAGGAAACGCTTAATGGTATTAACTAAATGTCTAGGTGGCTTCATCGAGCATGCGGCAAATGCGAAATTTGCAAAGTGGACTATACTCACTGCCCGCACCAAGATAACTCGGGAAGAGTAAGTTATTGTGTCGCCTCCTAGTTGAAAATGATCTTGATACTTATGACAAGTAGAATGTATCAGGGACTTTCCAAGGTACATATGATTAGCTGGTCTCATTCTCTGGCTAGGCTAAAACTAGGTCTAGAATACTGCCTAGCCGACACCGAGTACTTGTTCCAAATTCCAGCCGAGGTCCCAGCGGCAATCGCAGCACCACTTCTCTGTGGTGGCGTCACCATGTATGGCGCTCTTGTASGAGCCGATCTCCGTGCAGGCGATTTTGTCGTCATTCCTGGAGCCGGCGGCGGTCTGGGCCATTTGGGTGTCCAGATTGCAACAAGTATGGGCTTACAGGTCATCGCGATAGACTCGGGTCCGGACAAGGAAGCCATTTGCAGGGATTCTGGTTCCTGTCACTTCTTTGATTTCCAGAAGAGCCGCTCCTCCCTGATAGAGGATGTGCGCTTTGTCACAGGAGGAATTGGAGCACATGCAGTTCTCTGTATCACTGGTGCACCATCGGCATACGACAGCGCTTTGGCGATGGTGCGGAGTCTGGGAAAGCTCGTCTGTGTAGGTATTCCGCCGTCATCTTACCGGTTGGCAATCAGCCCTTTCGAGATCTTGGTGCGAGGCCTGCGAGTCATCGGGTCAACAGTGGGTAATAGATCCCACATGTCGTCATTAATGAATCTCGTGTTACAAGGCAAAGTGAAACCGAAGGTGGAGATCTATCAATTTCTGGAATTGCCAGAGGTTATGAAGAAGCTGGAGCATGCTACTATAGCAGGAAGAGCAGTTCTACAGATTCGAAAATAGCATAAGTAAATATATACAAGTGAAATATATCACTATTAACCCTTTCTGGTTGTTATAATTTCTGTACTCTCCGCACAACCAGCTCTGGGTCTGGCTTTATGGAAACTTTGTATCACATTATTCACCATGGAGCGAAGAAGGAGACATCTGGAAAATTCCAAGCGGGGCTTATGTATGCCAGTCTGTTTTTTATGGCTCCAGCCCGCCTGGATTCCTGGATTTTCTCTTCCGCTCCGATATTTTTGTTATCTTAGTCGATACTAAAAAACTAAAACCGTAACAATTCATTAGTTACCTAGTGCCAACTTTCCAAGATTAGAAAACATAGACTCCTTTGGGGCTCGCACATCAAGTTCTTGCGTCCAGGCACTTTGTGGCTGACTGCGCAAATACCAATACATCTGAGCCAGGTCATCTGGTTGTATGATGGAGATGTCTGTTTTCTCTGGCTTTTCCTTCTCACTATCATAAAGCTACTATCGACATTTTACGCTGTAGATTAACCTTCTGTCAACGGGACTATCAATAATGATATAGGCTCTATGAATATCTTTACTCTAGCACTCTCTCGTGGTGACTTGTAAATAATGACTGAATATAAAACATGTCTAAGAAGAAGCTGGATAGGCTAGGTATTCTATATAAGGAGCTAGTCGCGATAGTGAAGATAATTATACCACGCCCTACAACTATTATATCTGATCATATATATTTGTTTAACTTAAAAGCACTAAAAAGATTAATTTAGATAAAGCTTTTAAATTTTTCTATTGTGGTGTTTAGAATTGCGTAGCTATTTATTTAGTCTATGCTAGTATTGTAAATAAGAACATAGATTATGCCGGGCTTAGTGCGAATGGTATTTAAACCAGAGATAGTATCTTCTTTATTGTGTAGATTGGTAAGGTAATACTGGGATAGTCCATATCCAAATTCCTTATTGATGTGCTGATATATAGATTGTAACTTGTCTTTAATTTGGGCTAGAAGTGCAGTGACATATCCTTTACCTGCGAATCAGCGAGCCACAGCTTCGCCAATTTGCTAGACCGGCGCCTGCCACAGCGATCACAGGTTTATTCTGATTCTTGAATGATACGGCTGGGTGAACTTGGATGATTTATTTTGTTATGTTGAGTTTCCCGCTGAATATTTATAGTTCTAGATGATGGGAATGGTTCTTCGCCGAGATATTTGGGTATTTGTTGGAATCCCACTAAGTTAAAAAAAATGTACTGATATCCAACTTAGCGGAAATTCACATTAGATCCAACAGTATTTATTGATTAGTGATACCTGTAACCCTAACCTCGCGGCGATCAAGACCGGAGACTCAAATATAGTAGTTTAGTAATTTTTCCCATGGACTCGATGCGAATTCCCCGTCGTACCGAGGTATTACGTTAATTACTTAATAGTCACTGTCCCATTTTAACTAGCTGAGGTGATCCTTCTAACTTCATCGACCCCAAAGTGACAGTGACCATGTACATCTCCACATGGCATGAAAATTGGTAGTTAAACTATCTACATCGGTCTAAATCATTAATTCTGAGAGCTAACGCCATTCTAGTTTCCCCCTGCAGTTTCCACGCATTTTCCTACATTCACAAGAACAGGATTTTACTTCAAAGCCAGGACGTAGAAGTCGAGTGAGTCAACACGGAAAGCACATCGGATACTTCCTATGTGCTAGAAACCTAGGTTAATTCTCGTGTTCCTTGGGGGTATCAATGTCGGCAGCGGTAACATGCATACCCTCTTTGGTGAAGGTCTGTGGTTAATAAAAAATTATATAGGAAACAAGCCGCCAGGAACTCTCCCAGCCAAGGCGAAATATTTTGCGTATAGCAACAAGCGAGCTCAAAGATATTTTGGGCTCAAATCCGACTCCAGAATTCTTCCCAATTCTGTCATTTCAGGTAAGTTGGCTTCCAGCTAACCCCCTTTGGCCTGAAGCCAGGCTGATACGCGTTTCTTCGCTAAACCTGGCTCGGCGGTGCCTTATATATTTGAAGTAGAAGTGCTCAAGCCAATTCGAAGACTTATTCCAGTCATGCTTTGAGTTGGTATGCCTTGACTATCTTGCTTCGGGAAGACCGGTTCACATGATGACTGCACTTTGCAGAGTATTCGACAAACAAGAGGCGAAGGGAGTCCTGAAAGGCTCACAAACCGTCGAGATTAAGCAAGCCCTGAACGTTGTTACTCAACGTTTTGTCGAAGATATTGGAGCGTTTGGATGCCCGCGGTATTTGGTGCATGATGACCTGGGGAATGTAGAGCCTTTCTTTGGAAGCGATAGGTTTCACTATATGTGGGACTATTTAAGGATTCCTCACCGGGACCTGGAGCTTCTGAATTCAACTTATGGGAGGCTATGATAATTCGTTTTTTGGTGGTATCGAACTTTTTGGCCAAATAAGACTCCCGCGTAACTACAAACTTGATTGAAATTGATCGGGGAGATGTTATCCCAATATTCCATTTGCAGTAAAGACCTAGATTGTGATTCCCATTATAATCATTTTTAACCTGAGCGCCAAGCCTCAATTGTTTACCAATACGAAGCGTATAACTGGTATTTCTTTTAAGGCGTACGATGTTGTGTGCTATGAATGGCATCATTCTGTTATCGGGAGCGTGCGTTTTGCAAAGTGCATTATACGAGCCTAGTAGGAAACATCTGAACCGTTTAATGATCCATGATGTATGCGGTACAAGTAGGTGATCTTTTGACAAGTTTCAATGGCGAGTCTAATTTATTATTTTACTTTAATAAAACGTTTCAATACATGATCAATCCCGCCAGGTGATCACCTTCGTCTTGACCCATTCTTTCAACCCGTCTGGCGCATTGAACCGGCCAAATCCACTGTCCTTGACACCACCGTGAGGCAGAGACACCTCGTCGTGGATAGTCATGTTGTTAATATGCACAGCTCCCGTCTCCAAGTGTCTTGCAAACTTGATTCCTCGTCGCAAATCTTCTGTAAATACCGCCGCAGTCAGACCATATGTAGTATCGTTAGCCAAGGATAACGCCTGCTCATCGTCTGTGACCACGTATAGCGACACTGATGGGCCGAAGGATTCTTGGTAATAGAGGTCCATACCAGGTTTAACGTTCTCGAGTACAACAGGTCGTATTCTATTTGCCCTATCGTTTCCATTGGACAGAGATCCATGTAGAAGGCTGGCCCCCTTAGTGACTGCATCCTCTAAGAGAGCCCGAACTTTGGTTGCGGACTGCTCATTTATAAGTATTGGTGATGGATGGTCCGAGCCAAAGAGTCGACTTATCGCTGCTTTCAAGGCCACGCGAAAGTCCTCTACAACGTTAGCATTGACAACGATGCGCTCTGTACTCATGCACACTTGGCCTGAATGAATGAAGGCTCCCAGAGCGCACTGCTCTGCTGCCAACTCAAGATCTGCGTCTGCACAGACGATTGCTGCTCCTTTCCCGCCGAGCTCAAGAAGACAGGGCTTCAGGTATTTTCCACAAAGTTTGGCAACGATTGACCCTACAGCAGTACTTCCAGTAAAGTTTACTTTTCGAATAGCTGGGTGCGCAATCAATTGGCTAGTGATTGAAGCAGCATCACTTGGCCGATGGTAGATGGTATTCAGACAACCAGCTGGAAGACCAGCTTTGTGCAGAATCGAGACAAAATGCCAGTATGTTGCTGGAGCTAGTTCAGGACCTTTCAGGATGACTGTGTTGCCAGCTGCGAGCGGAAAAAGACAGGCTCGCATTCCTAGGGTGTGAGGGGCGTTCCAGGGTGCGATACCTAGAACCACACCATATGGTTGGTTGATAAACATTGCACTCGTGTCTTTCTCGTCAGGGTCAACTACAGTTCCATAATAGGAAGATAATCCGGCTAGTTGTAGACACATGTCTATTGCAGTGCCATATTCGAATTCAAAGGATCCGACCGGAACGGCCGTCTCTGTGCTGCTGTATTCTCGGCTCTCGTCACGAAGTTCCTTCAGGAGTTGGTAAGCCCGCAGAAATATTTCTCGTCGCTCCTGGGGCTTTTTCCATCTCCATTTCTCAAAAGCAGCTGTAGAAGATGCAATCGCATCTCGTACATCGTCTTCGTCGGCCGCAGAGGCTTTCCACAAGACCTGCTGGTGGAGCGGCGAAATCACGTCAAATGTCGTATTCGTGACTCGCTGGGTGCCATTTATCCACAACGGGACTGTAGAATTGGCGTCGAATTCAAAAACCATTTTCCTCAACGTATTTTCCAGATGGACGTTTCAAAGTGTTGGGGAATAAGGAAGACAGCTCGTGATTCAATTCGAGTTATAAGTTATTTTTCTAGAGAGATAGAGCGTGATTTGATATGATTTCATACTAAACAAGTTTATATTAGCATGTTAAGATTGTTCCTTGCCCTGCTCTTTCTCTTGTCCGGTAGATTCTCAGTTAACGGAATGCAGCCGCGGGAAGATCGGGAAGCCGGTCTTGAATCCTTATAGAAGGAGCACATTGATATATCCGAATGAGATAATTCCGAAGATTATACATCCCACATGGACAGAACCCGTTTTATTCAATTTCCTTTATGCTTATAATAAATATATCTGTTTCGTTGATGGCTTCAGGATTAGCAACGGGCTGAGACTTCAAAGATCGCTGACGTCCGGTAATATTTCTTCGAATGGTTAAATTCTTGTAACATTTTTATAGTAGATACATTTAATCCACGTTTTTTAAATTTCGTAGATTTATGTCCATGATTAAGGTTTTATGGAAATTCTAATACATATCCGTGAAGTTGCTGCGCTGGAGTAGCGATATTCGTATAGCATCCTCGACCATCAATGTTGCTCACTCGTTTAGGAACCATATTATTTATCATTACTGCCCATATCCCAAAGATTTGTTTACCGCCGCAACATCCCAGTAAAAAGGCCTCAGCTCAACAATAACTCCGCGCTCCAAGTCGACAGTAATGGCCTGACAAAACGGGAAATCCATTTCCTCCCCAGTGCTGCGCACTTTAAAGTGGACATTCGAAAGTACCACGATTCGGTCCGAATTTGGGCGCTCAAAAATTTCTGGATTCTGTACATCGACTACATCAAAGTAGTCGGCCATGCGCCGCGTCCAGTCCTGCATCCCATCTGGCCCGACGTAGACGCCTCCATACGGCAGGGCGGAGGTTTGTTCCATGCGGAAGTTGGGGGCGAGGGTGGCTGCAATACCGGTAAAGTCGCGATCTTCTGGAGCGGCTGCCATGTACTCTCGTTCCGCCTTGTAGAAGGCGTCTAGAACCCCCCGTGCTATGTGTTTTGGACTGGATGTCATAATGGTCACGGATTTGGGCACTCGAATGTCGCTGATACGCAAGACAGGAGCTGTTGTGCATTAAGAAATTCACACAGTATGAGGTAGTACAATCGTAACTGAACTAAGGTTTCTTTCCAGAATATTGAGGGAATCGAATGAGTACAAATGGCTCTAGAGATCGATGCGCAAAGTGATTTAAATAGGCTTCCTCGGCAATTTCGGGTACGTTCCGGCGTACATAGCATTATGAGGAATCTTACTTATCCTAGTCAACCTCACTTTCCGGAGGATTTGTAATCTTCAGGAATGATTTAATCTTTGAATTCGCTAGACCGTTCGAAATCATTCCGTGTCTTTTTGCGAGCATACATGGCTCTCTGGAAGTATCTAAGCAATAGTTCGATAACCCAGTGCCCTAATCTGCACAAGTTCTAGTGATACTTCAGTGCAACAGGCTTAATACTTTTACCCTGCAGAGCAATTAGAACAATATTTTGGAGGAGTACACAATGGGTCCACAGCCAAATCCTCAAAAATCACTGGAATTGTACAAAACAACCAGTTCCGCGCAAGATTTCCACAGCCTGCGCGACAAGGTGGTGGTAGTCACAGGTAAGTACAATATCCTAAATAAATAGCTGCCAAAGTTTACACGATTTCAGGCGGTGGAGATGGCATTGGAATTGCTCTTGTAAAGGCTATCACAGAGTTTGGTGCTCATGCTGCAGTGATCGGCCAGAGTGAGGCGCCTAATCAACAACTACGCGAGATTCAAAATGTGCATAAGGCAAGCCAGGTGAAGTATTACTGGTGTGAAATCCTCGGTAGCAACAATAGAATTGTTTTTTGGTCTTTGCTTACATGTAGATCATCCATCCAGTGCCGATGTTACGCAGGAATCGCTGCTTAAAACGACATTTGATCAAATTTTGCTGGACTTCGGAAGAGTTGACGGAGTGTACGTTTTCGTTCTCCCATTGACAATTACTAATTTTAGATCATTTCATATTATTATCAGAAGTATTTTGATAGCACTGACATTTCAATAGGATAGCGTGCGCTGGGGTCTGCATCGAAAAGCCTTTTGTTGAACATACGTGGGAAGAGGTGGTTCAACTCCAGATGGTAAATGTATGTAGTAAGGCACCTTTGTTTGAACCAAGGGGTCTTTGCTGACAAAGTCACAGAGCATAGGATTATTCTTCACCGTCCAACTAGCCGTGAAGGCGATGCTACAAAACCATGCTGTGCAGGATCACAACGCACCGAAGGGTAGTGTCATTCTCATTGGGAGCATTGCTACGGACAGCGGCCTTGAGAGTCAGGGTCTGACTGCCTATTCGGCATCCAAAGGTGCAGCCAAAGGTCTGCTTCATAGCTTAGCTGTTGAGTTGGCGCCGAAGGGAATTCGAGTCAATATGATATCGCCAGGACATACTATCACGGACATGTCGGTCAGTCAATGGAAGACCCGCCCAGAGCTGGAAACTGTCATGAAGGCCGCCATCCCAATGGGGCGAATGGCAGACCGAAGAGATCTGAAAGGTGCTGCTGTATATTTCTTATCGGATGCGTCGCTATATACAACTGGCAGTAATCTAGTTATTAGTGGTGGTCTCCATGCTGGAAGGGTCTAAACTTAGATATACCTTCAGACATATCGAATTAAATCAAGGCCTAAATGAGTAAGGGTACATCGAGATAACTTAAAAGGGTTGAATCTTACATATAACTACAGAGATAATAAGACACTACATAGGTGTTAAAACTATCATTAGTGTAAGGCCGTGGATTGAATGGCGCTGTGGCGGGCCCTCTGTATGTTGAACGCCAAGGTGCTCTAAGCCCAATCTGGCGCCTACGGGTATTGTGTTACGAAACCAACTTGCATGATACTAGGCAGAATCTAGTATTATTAGAGAAAGGCGTTTGTTATAGCAGCTAACACCACATCCAGTCATTGCCACAACTTAGTACACAGACAGTCGGCTAAGAACACAGTTTCCACAAAAGCCGAATGAATCACCACCACATACATAATTATACTGCATAAGTAAGTCTCAAATATACATGTACCACGGCTTACTGCAAATAATCAGCAGAGTAATAAGATAAATAATATTCAATGCGAAGTACTTATTATCATTTCTTACATTAATTGTCGAAGACAAGCTATTATATAAGTCAATTCTTAAAAAATCTAATTTATTATCTAAACAATCTAATTGATTATATTCCAGAACCATGCGCCTCTATAGCATAGCTTATGATTTCTACCATCACTAATAGCTAGAAAAAAGTCGAGACCAAGAAGAAATGAACTAGGACCTATTCAAATACTCCCAAAGCCTCCATAATATTATATAGCTCTTCGACTCACATCATGTGAACTGTCAAAACGTACGATCTCTCAATATTGTATACGCTCCAGCGCTAAGACTATGTACACCAGCTGTTAGACGAAATGTGAGATCACCTGTCACGGGTGAGGGCGGTGACACAAGGACAGGGATCCTTCCGCTTCAAGCCTTGCCATCGGCATTCTCGCTCTTCCATCCTCCACATACACCTACATGTAACTATTACACACATATGGAACTAGTCCTGCTATTGCTTAAATAATTCAATTCTCTTTTTCGCCTGTCAGTGACAAGGAGCTCAAGCCATCCCCGCAATGTCGTCTCTCCGCGCCTCGTCCCTGTACAATGTCGACGGCCTCGTTGCTCTCATAACCGGTGGCGGCACCGGTAAGTATCTGCGCGCTTATTGCCACGTAGAAGACGGGATGCATATTAACAGATAACCAAGGTATTGGGATCATGATGGCGAAAGCGCTCGTTGAGAATGGCGCCGCCAAGATCTACATCGCCGCTCGTCGCCTGGAGCCGCTTCAGGCCGCAGCCAAGGAGATGGGCCCCCAGGTGGTCCCTATCCGCTGTGATGTTACCGACAAGGACGACTTGATGCAGGCGGTGCAGACGGTAAAGTCCCAGGTGGGCTATTTGAACCTCCTCATTTGCAACTCTGGCACCACTGGCGTAGGAGACTCCCTACTCCAAAGGGGCAAGCCTCCGTCCCCCGAAGAATTCTTCGCCAAACATTGGGCCTTTGACGTCCAGGACTACCTCCACCCTTTCGGCGTCAACGTCGCCGGCGTGTGGTACACAAGCGTGGCCTTTTTGCCGCTGCTTCACGCGGGAAACAAAAAGGGCAACGTGTCGCAGAGCTCTCAAATCATCGTTATTAGCTCCACGGCCGGCTTGAGCAAGTGTGGCGAGGCAGGCTTCGCCTACGGACAGTCCAAAGCCGCCAGTATACACCTAGCCAAACAGCTTTCGACGTTGCTACCACAGTGGGGGATGCGCGCGAATTGCATTACTCCGGGCTGTGAGTGTACCCAATTATATAGCCATGCTTGACTCGACTGACAACCTTTGGACGAAGTTTTTCCGAGCGATTTGGTTGAACCATCATTGAAGCAGCTCAAAAACGCTGATGGAAAGTTGGGAAAGCTAGGGAAAGCGTTTCCTTTGCGAAGACTGGGAAATGAAGAAGACATGGGTGGCACAATACTGTATCTCGCTTCCAAAGCAGGCGCCTATACGAATGGCACGATTATGCTTGTTGATGGTGCGGTCATGCATAGTATGCCATCGGTTCTCTAGGTTATGGTATCAATTTGATGCGTTACAAGTAGGTACAGTTTCAACAATATTAAATTATAACGGAGCAGTTATAGCAAACCCTTGTTTACGTCTACACATCTGCATCGGATTGTTTGGATGCTTGAACAACTAAATCAGCAACTGTAGAGATGGAGCTGTTGCTTCCCATAATATCGAACACTGTCACAGGTGCTTCAAAGTCCTTCTTGAACCAATTTCGCAGCTCCACCGCCATAAGGGAGTCAACACCGTAGGCAGACAATGGGTTCCGATCGTCAAGCTCTTCCTTCGAAACGCACAAGGCGTCTGCCAATTTGTGAACGATGGCCTCTAGCACAACGCTTCGCTTAGCAGAGCTGGATGTTGCCCGCCGAAATAGCAGAGCTGATTCGTTGGCTGACCTGCGAGAGAGAGCGTCTTTCTCAGTCGCCACGGGGAAGCCAGCAAAGAATGGCCGGCCTTGGATGTGCGAAGGCAACAGATGCGCCGTTTTCCAGTCCGAGGGAGACACCCCGCCCACGAGAATCTGCACATCGTTATCCCACCTCTCTAGATTCACAGGGTCGCAGTACCGGTCGAGCACAGCGAGTATGTCTCTACAAAAGACCTTTTTGGCGTCGCGAATGGTGTTGGCGCTCAGCTTGAAGTCGTCATGGTCCACCATGGCGCCGGCGTCTCGAATCAGCGCGAGATTCAGGCTGATAGCACGGCGGCCGACAGCGATACGATGACGGGCCAACGCATCCTGCACCGAGCAAGCAGCTGCGTAGTTGCACTGGCCGGGCGACCCGTACACTGCCGACACAGAGGAGAGCAGAATGAAAAAGTCCAAGTTCGCTGGCAAAAGTTGATGCAAATTCCACGACGAGTCAATCTTGGACCGCAGCGACTTCTGCCATTGCTCGTGCGTCATGTTGAAGTACATGGAATCGTGAAGAGACATGGCGGCATTGATGCACCCCCTGATGGGCGGGAGGTCTCTGTGCTTGTCCAGCAGCACGGCAAGCCCGTCCCTTGAGCTGGCGTCGCACGGCGTGGTGATGATGACGGCGCCTTGTCGCTCGAGGCTGTAAACAAAGGACGACACGGCTTTCGATTTGATGCCTGATCGCGTGGGCGTTATGAAATATCGTACCCCTCGCTCAAACATCCAGTGGATGAGAGATCGGCCAATTCCGCCTAAACCGCCTACAATAATATAGGTGGCGCTCTTGGGGAATCGCCAACTGGCTCGTTTCACCATGAATTTCTAAAAGAAAAACATATAAAGTCAGCAATAGTGAGTAGACAAGAGGTTCAACCCTTACCGAAACACTGTCTTCAGGATCAAGAGTGATGATGGTGCGGCCCGTATTCTTTCCGCTTTGAATGAACCGAAATGCTTTTTCTGATTCCGCAACCGGGAATAAATGCACTGGTTTTGGGTACTGACCGACATTGGTATGGAACAGCAGGTCGACCGCCGTCTTCGTCAAGTCTCTCAATGCCTCTGAATCGTCGGCACCCAGGTGCGCCAGATCAACAGCAGAAAAGGTCGCGTTTTTGGCAAAGTGCGACATGGGCAGGCTGGAGCCCGCGCCGATGTCTGCCTTGCCAATCTCGATGAATCTGCCGAAGGGTGCGATGCAGGACCATGACGCCTTTAGCTTATCCCCTGAGAGGGAGTTCAAAACGACATCAACGCCCCGGCCTGCCGTCTCGCGCAGAATGCCCAGCTTGAACGACGTATCGCGGCTGTAAAAGATGTGGCTCTCCGGGATACCAAACTCCTCCATGAGCAGCTTCTTCTTGTCGTCGAAGCCGACTGTTGCGTACACCTGCGCGCCAATACGCTGTGCGATGCAGACAGCCATTTGACCTGTACTCCCCGCCGCGGCATGGATCAAAATGGTCTCGCCCCTTTTCAGTCGCGCGACATTCACCAGACTGTGGTGAGCTGTCATAAGAGGGTTGAGAGCTGCAACTGATCGGGCAAACGACATGCCGTCTGGGATCTTGAAGACCATGTTCTCCTTTACTTGAACGTGGCTCCTCATGCCAGCAACTTCGCCAGTGCAGACGCGATCTCCTGGCTTGAACTCGGAGACTCCTGGCCCGACTCTGGAGACCACGCCGGCCAGCTCCCAGCCCATCCCGCTCGTATCGTTTTGGTCGCCGTAGCGGTCCAGGGCAATCAGGACGTCACGGAAGGACACCGGCCATGCGCGGCACTCAATCTCAACCATCTGGGAGGCCATTTGCACAGGTACCTCCGTTTCCACTAGCCTGAGGGTGTTGAGCATGCCAGGGCTGCCAGGTGACAGGATCGTGGGCGGCGCATTGCCCAGAGTCTGCTCCGGCTGCAAAGATGGGAAAATCCGCCCGAGCCTGTCTTCCTCCTGTTCCGTGTCATAGATCAGGCGGTCGGCGCAGAGAGTATTCTTTTCAATGACGAATTCGTTTTCGCGAGACGGGTTTTGCGGTCGGAAGCATTTACAAAGAATGTCTTTGATGAAACGCACCACATTTGCCTCTGAAAGGGTTACGCGGTTGCAACAGCTTAAGGTCACGATCTCTTTGGACGGTTCCTCGTATCGAATCGTTCGGAGAAAGCCCAATGCCGCCTCAAATCGCGGATCCACTGCACCTGTCGATGAGGGGGGGGTGGAAAGGTTAGGTAGAGCTACCCAGAGAAGATTCTGCGTATTCTTGATCATTGTGCGAATATTCTCAAACACTTCACTTGTCGGTGCCACCAGAAGAGGTTCTCCTAGTTCGATGAGTGAAAGGACAATGTCGTCTTCTTTCCACTCTACATCGCCGACGTCACCAAGTGTTATTATTCGCGACCCTAAACCAGACCATTGATAAATGCGGTCGGCAATAATTTGTTGCAATTCGGAAAAATTGTCTAATACAACAATGGTCAGAGTTCTCTTGTTGCTGAAACCCAGCTGCTCGGAAGGCTCCGAAGTGGATTCTGCTGTGGCATGCGTAATCATTATACAGCCGCCTTCACCATCATCCCACGTTGCCTCTATACCAAAGAACCCAGTCTTCTTCATGACCCTGTCCCACGTCTGTTTCGACATCAACGGCCCGTTTTGGCGCCAATCCTCGGTCGATAGCCACCAACCCGGCAGAGAACCGAAGCCCACCAAGGACCTAGCTAGATTGGTCTGTGTGATTTCGAGATTGACAAAATGTCCTCCTTGCCGCAGGAGTTTTCGAACGTTACCCATAGACTCGGCAATATTGGACGTGGCATGGAGAACGCAGCCGGCCAATACCAAATCAAATGACTCCAGCGCAAAACCTTGCGTATCGATTGCCTTTTCAATATTCAACTTTTGAAAGTCTAAACGGTTCCCAAAGCGGGCAAACTTTGTTTTCCCGGCTTCGAAAAATGCTGGCGATATATCCGTAAAGACGTACCGTGAGAATCGCATGGAGCCAACACGCTTTTCGAGCTGTTCTAGATGGGACAGCACATGTCCTGTTAGACCACCAGAACCGGAGCCGACCTCTAGAATACGTAGGCCGGGATTTTCATGCGATGCCAACTCCAGGAATCGGAACAGTCGATCGTCAGCTGCATTGTCGAATAGCAAAGCATAGGAACGGCCTGCAACTTCAGAGGAAACCAAAAGGTCCAAAGGATCTGCCTCGCTCCGAAGTAGGAGTTCTAAAAAGCGGCCGGCTTGCGTGTAGAGCCCCCATGAAGGGCTGTATTCTAGGCATTTCGCTAGCTCTTGATCAATATATCCATTTTTATGGTCGCTGTTTGGGCCGTAGTTGCGTTGCAGCACGTTTATAAATGTCTGTAAATGTGCTGGTGCGGACGTGATGTTGAACCCTGAACTGTAGAGTCGGTAGAGAGCATGTTGAGCAGAAGAGATAAGTGCTGCTTCTAGTCTATCAGACCAGCTTTTTTCCATCTCGGACTGTTGGTATGGCTCTGGCTCGCAAGTGACCTGTAGGTCTGCCGGCGTCAGCTGACTCAATAGGGGCAGTCTCTCTATCTTGTATATGAGCCTCGGCTGCTCCTCGCCGAGTTTTGGCTCATCATTTGATGATACGCTTGCTAGAAGGCCACGTTCTAGTGACATGAGCATGGTCCCTTCTTCGTTGAAGACACTGATGCTGGCTTCCAAAGCGGATGGTCGAGAAAAGTCGACAGTAGTGGTAATAACAACAGAGCTATCGGGCACTTTCCAGGGCTTCGCTGACATCCACAGGCCGTACACCTCTTGTGGGACATAGGTATCCAATGGTATTGACAATCCTTTGGAAATCTGAATAAGGGGGAAGTGAATTGCTGCATCTAGCACGGCCGGATGTATGGGGCTAGCCTCTCCAGAATCGAGCATTAAGTCATGAGGGATTGTAGCCTGTGACGTAGCCAGGCCATCCCAAAAGATGCGACGCAATACGCTAAAGGACGGCCCGTACGCCATTCCATAGTGGCGGAGATATTGGTAGAAGGCTTCTGAATTCACTTCCTTGTCACAGGAGTCTGTAGCTTCGTCCTGGAATTTGCGATACTTGGCCGTCTCTTCTCGTCGCTCTCTTCCGCCATCGACTTCTGTCGAGGTCTGCTCAAGTTGCACTTGAACAACAGCTTGGAAACATTCGGTCCAGTTGCTGCCGTTATAAGCAAAGAGAGCAGCCTCCCACCATGAAATATCCTTTTCGTAGACCTCCTGCTTTGGTCTTAGGTATAAGGAGACCTCGGTATTTTGCCGGCTGTCTTCGGACACTGGAATCGGTTTTAGAAAGTGCGCTTCTTGAAACTGAAAGCCGGATATGGGTGCAGATGTCGTCTTGGCATTCATTTCGACCAGGTGTTTTAGTCCTTCTAATGTCATCACAATCATGCCCATGCCAGGGCAGACAACTTTGCCGCTAATGCAGTGTTCCTCTAGCCACGGCATTGCGTCGATTCCGAGCCAGTTGCGGAAGGTTGGTCGCAGCTGATTCCAATTGGGTGATCTCTTTCCAATCATGACGCCCTTGGCTTGAGGACGAAGCCTCGTATCTTTGTTGATTCGTCCCTCGTACCAGTACTTCTTTGTCAAATCAAATGGGTAGCGAGGGCAATCCACTAGTGGCGGTGGGAATGCATTCGCATCGTGATGGTTCGCTAATTCAATAGAAACAGGATATCCAACGCAGAATAGATTGCCTAGCAGGTATAGAAGACTATCAAGGGGCTGCTTTGATCGGTGAAGCACGGAGTGATAACGGGCGCTAGTGATGGACTTTGGCTCTGTTGCTTCGGCACTTCCTTTATAGGAGGACCCAGAAGTACCAATTGCTTCCAAAGTATCTTTGATAGATCGTCTCAGCGCTGCATCAGGGCCAACTTCAATAAAGTCGGTAATTGATTGATTGTTTTTTAAGCCCAGATCCAATCCTCCTTTGACAGCAAGAGATTTGAGCGCGTCAGCGAATAGAACTGGTGAGATGAGATTATCTACCCAATACTGAGCAGAAGAGAAGCATGAAGGATCGGCCATCAATCTTCCAGTAACTGATGAAGCTATTGTTGTCTGACCCCTCCCCGCCCCAGTTCCAGGATCGAGCTGTCCCAGCAATTCTGCGTATTCTTTTGCCACCATCTTCATCGCAGGTGAATGGTAGGCCACTCCAGTATTCAGTTTGCGAGCAAATAGTTGGTCTTCATCCATATGGTCTTTAATTAGATCAATGAGATGCTCGTCTCCAGACAATGTGCAGTTTGTTGGGCTGTTCACACACGCCACATGGACAGACGATGCGATGTTGTTATCAATACCCATGCTTTGGAGGTATTCATGAACCCTGGCACTCTCCAAACTCACAGAAATCATAGCGCCTGGCGTCGCAACTGATGCTGACTTGAGCCTCTCGGAAACAACGCCTCGGTAATATGCGACCTTGCATGCCGACTCTAGGGACAGAGCACCGGCGGTGTAAGCGGCGGCGATTTCGCCGGATGAATGACCCATGACCGCACAGGGCGTCACATGTACACTCCTCAAGAGCTCTACAAGGGCAATCTGTACCGCAGTGCACAGAGGCTGACTGAACTGAGGGGAGTGCAACAATTGGTGGTCCTGTAGCACATCTAACAACTTCCAAGTTGATCCAAACGAAGAGAGGATGCTGTCAATGCGCTGTAAAGTATCGGCAAAAACCTTGTATGATAGAAGTCCGATACCCATGGAGGGATATTGTACCCCTTGTCCTGTAAAGACAAATGCTGCAACTGATTGTTCAGTTGGCAGCCTCGTTGGCTTTGTCAATGCAAGACACACCGTGCCGTCATCCGAAATTATGTTGTCGGCGCTCGCTATGGCGAACGACCTCCATTGCAACCGACTTCGCCGATTTGAGAGAGTATATGCCAGTTGGTCCAGCTTTCGATGCGACCTGCCCACTTTTCGTTTCAGGTAGGATTTGTAAACATGTGCGAAGCGGTCTATTGCTCCAGGGTCGGCGCCAGACCAGACCAGCAAGCGGGCCTCTTTTGTGTTTATCTCTTCTGTGTGGAGAGTGGTGGAGATTTTGGTGATACTCTCATTGGATGAGTACGTAGTACCGTTGATGACGGTGTTCTCGCCGAGGTCATCCGCATACATGGTGCAGTTATGATATCCATGCAGTCCGCGATTGCTTAGAAAACTCAGGGCGTCATCAAGAACTATATGAGCATTTGAGCCTCCCAGACTAAACGAGTTGACAGATGCACGGCGAACACTGAGCCGCCTAGGCCACGGTATACAGCTTATCGGCACGTCCAGGTGGTACAGATCACTGTTGATGGCTGGATTCATAGTTTTGAATAGGGCTTGTGGTGGAATAAGACCTTTCTCAACTGCCAGCACAGCTCTTAGCGTGCCAGCCAGACCGCTTCCTGCTTCGACATGGCCAATATTTCCTTTTATCGAACCGATGAAGATTGGATCTTGTGCCGAGCCGTGCTCACCGAAGACGCGTCCAATTGCAGTCGCCTCGATTGGATCGCCAGTTGGGGTGCCAGTTCCGTGTGCCTCAACATATCTGGTCTGACTAAAGCCCAGTCCTGCCTTTTGATAGACGTGGCGTATTAAGCTCTCTTGGGCGTCTGGGTTCGGCTGTGTGAGACTAGGAGTACGCCCATCCTGGTTGGCTCCGGTGGCTCTTATGACCGCGCGGATAACATCTCCATCCCTTATTGCGTTCTCGACGGGTTTCACAACCATGGCCAAAATTCCCTCGCCACGAGCATAGCCGTTGGCGCGCTCGTCAAAAGAATAGCATACACTATCCGGCGATAGGAAGTTCAGGTTGGATAAGATGGTGGAAGCATCTGGGTTCAACATGAAATTGGAGCCCAGCACGACAGCCTATGTTTCTTCTGTTAGCACCTATACGACACCTTGCCCCCTCTCTCTTCTCTTTTACGATGAACTATGTCAATGAAACATACAGCTGATGCATCTCCGGCTTGCATGGCTTTGCAAGCGTAATCTAAAGCAATAAGGCTACTAGAACATGCTGTGTTGATGTTCAGGCATGGGCCAGCCAGATCAAAGAACCAACTGACCTTGCCAACTAGGACAGACGGATCTGTGCCTGTCAGCGTCAGCCGCGGTGCTGCATCCAAATCTCGAGTCATGGAGCGCGGAAAGTCGTCGGAACACGAGCCAAACACTGCTGTGCGAGACCCTCGTAGGCTCTCCATTGGAATGCCTGCATTCTCAAAAGCGTGATAAACAGTCTGCAGAGCCCACCGCTGCTGAGGATCCATGGTTGCAGCTTCGTGAGGAGTAATGAAGAAGAATGGAGCATCGAAGGCAGTCCAATCGGCGTGACTGAAATGGGCACCGCGAGCATGAAGCGTACCTGCTTGTGACGACCCATCATTGAAGTATGTTTCGATGTTTGCGCGATCCGCAGGCCATTCTGTCGAGAGATTACTCCTCGTCTCCATAACTTCCCACAAGCGATCCTCGCGGTCCACATCTTGGGCAAGATTGAATGCAATTCCAACAATGGCAAACGAATCCATATTCTATGCTCTGTGGGAACGAAGCGGGAAAAATGAAGGTGAGACAATAATATGAGAGAAGATGCTGGCAGCCACTATAAAAACAGCTAAACTGGTAATTTTCGAGACTTGGGTTTTTGTTTTACTTCTTTATACGTATTTTATTATTGACTTTGCGAGAACATTTCTACGATAAGCAGAGGAGTAGAATAAATACAAGACAACTACAACTGTCGTTCTGCAGGTGAAGGCGACTGGCCATCGCTTCGTTTAGCCGATAGTGGATATTCCTACTTAAATAGCCCACCATTCAATCTTTGCAGCATCCAAATAGAAGATCTACAGCATCGTAATCTGTCGCAGTCTAGCCTTGCACACGGTGCGGCTTATACTCTGTATTTGCACTGCGTCTCGCTCTTGTTCGGTTGCTGCTAACTGAACTGAACTGAACTGAACTGATGATCCCTCGGGCTGTAATCTGGGATTGGGGGCGTCTGGTTGCATGCATGTATCCAGGGATACTATGCATACCCCTCAACCTCCCAATTCAGCTTTGACTTGTTTATAGTGGGGTGGTAATTATGGAGTTGCAGCCGGGGACTGTATACGTCGCTTTGCCCAGATGCGGAGTTCCGAATCTGGCCAAGGAGAAACGCTGGGAAGCAGAAGGGGGCCAAAACGGGTGCCTTTACCGTTAGCTCTATGCATGCAAGTACGTACCTCTAAGATCAAAGATTAGAAACTATATACCAGGATCTTATGATCCGGCCTAGCTCAAGTTACCGCCCGTCACGCCACTTAATCGCTAGTTCGATGCCGACGGAGCTGGCATTGGCAGCTACTCAGACAAAACAGGAGTATGATTTGCAAAGAATATTAGAGGCGTAAATAAAAGAGCATTTATAGTGTCAATAAATCCAACTCAGCTCAGCTGGCCACGCATTAGCTCATACGCTTTTTCAAACCAAGGTATGTATACGGGCGCCATTAAGCAGGACGCCCGGCGAGAATAAGGATCATATAACATATTAAGTAAGATGGAAGACCATGCATATCTGCTTACAGAAGTCTCTATGAAGGGTGAAAATTCCAGCGGCAACCCTACTGCGCACAGGCTATGTGGGAAGGGTTTACTGATGGCTTTCAGTCGACACTAAAAAAACTTATTTAATGAAACCACATCCACATTAATGATGAAGTGACTACATAATCCATGGATGCCAATAATTCTCTGGCGTATAGTAGATACTGTGACTTCCTCCGACGCTCGTACGAAGGCTCCTTCGTTTCTTACCCTGCAGGTGGTTGCTTGTTTAGGCTGGTAGGATCTGGTTTTTCCTCCACATGAGCAATACCGGTACCGCTTGAGCTACAGAGATTGCAGTGAGGAAGAACATTTGATCATTGTAGCCTTGAGAAAGAATTTCCCTTGCATCCTGCCCGAGGTCGGAAGTAGGCTGGCCATGAGCAGTGGCAGAATTGCTAAAATCGGTCAAGCCGAGCCGCTGTAGCCCAGGCACCACATGGCCGTTGAAGATGGATGTGACAATGGCTATCATTACGGCGCCTCCCATTGCGCGGAACTGGTGCGTGGCTCCAAGACCAATTGCTGCAGCAGAAATGTTAGCAGAAGGGGAAAGAAATCACAAATAGAGACGACCGCTCTAACCAAGATCACGTTTTTCTGCAGCAAATGGTACTGCAGCAAAAAGAGAGAGGTAGCTGATACCAGCCCCAAAGCCGGCAATCACCTCAAATCCATACTGCTTGGCTGGAATCGTAGCTGATGCCTCGACGGTGCCAAGCAGCGTGTAGCCAAGCACTTGGAGCAGTGCTCCAATGATGCACGCATACACCAGAGGGACTTTGAACTTGCCAAAGATCTGACCGATTACCATGCCACCGACTGATGCGCAGAGACCAAATGGCAGAATACGTACACCCGCGTCCACGGGGTGCTGTCCGTTGACGAGTTGAAATCGTTGTGGCAGTTGAAACGTGGTGACAGCCATGCCTCCTCCAACGAGGAAAAGGCCTCTGGGATCTTCCGTTAGCAAGAAGGGTTCAAGAAGAATATTAAAGACAGCACAGCAAGTTGGTAGCACCTACACCATGGCACCGAGCATCTCGCGGCGAACAATAAATCGCCACGGTAGTACAGGCTCTCGTTGGCCTTGCCGCAAAGTCAAATATCGCTCCCATATTAGGAGAAAGACAGCTAGGAGAACGGAAACAATAAGTAAGACAATAAAGTAAGCCGAATCCCAGGAATACTCTGTGTTCACTTCTTGAAAGGCCGATGTAAAAGCAAGCGTGGCACAGAGCAACAAGCCACAACCGAAAAAGTCAAGTCGCGCGGTGACTGTGGACAAAGTAACCTTTGGCTGTTTATCTGCGCTGCTTGCATGGTGGGGATAACCATTTGGAATGCCTAGAAACGCGAGAGCTAACCCAAAAGCGCCGACAGGCACGTTAAAGAGAAAGACCCAGCGCCAAGTGGTATTCTGGGAGATGACACCGCCAATTACCGGCCCAAGTACTGTTGCGAGGATAAAAGCGACGCCTGTATAGGATGCGAATCGGGTGATTTGATTTGCGGGGACAATCTGGAGGAGCATGATACTGCCAACGGCGTAGCTACCGCCGCCGCCAACGCCCTGGAATGCGCGAAGAATAATGCTGTATAGAACATGTGCTTGTTAGACACAAAATCGAAAAAGAAAAACCAAAAATACATATTTTTTCGGGGACAAAGCATACAGCTGTTCGAGAGTCTTTGCGGCAGCACATCCTCCAGAAAACACTGTGAAGAGGAGGATGCAGAACATGAAGACCGGTTTACGGCCTAAAATGTCGCTGAATTTGGCCATTATGACTACGAAGCCTAAAAAAAAAAGGGGGGGGGGGGGGGGGGGGGTTAGAAAAAGAGAAATCGTTTCAAAAGAATACTTAAAACTTACTGACAAACCCCAACAAATAGGCGGACATGATCCAGCCCGCCTTGTCGAAGCCGCCAACATCATTGGTGATGCTTACCAGGGAAGTCGTGACAATTGTGATTTCGACTTGGGTCAGGAAGTAGACGGTTGAGATGAGAGACACAACCAGCCAAAGCCTCATTCCATGCAGATACGCTCCCGTATCCTGCGACTCGTCAACCTCTGAATTTGTAGCCAACTGTTCGGCGTCCTGCTGCATCTCATGGTTGGGGCTTTTTTCTACGTCAGATTCTGTAGGAGGGCTTAGCGTCGCCGAGGCACAAGGGGCGTTTGTATCGAGCGCCATGATGAGCGCTTGCTTCAATACTATTGAGATCAGGAGGGAAAAGTAGTCGCAAAAGGGGCAACGGTAAAAACACCCAAGTCAAGAAGAGAGTAGAAGACCAAAAACTTGGGGCGGCCGAGACAGAAGAAGGCAACGAGGCAGGTAGGCGATCGAAGCGAGGATGTCTATGCATCTGTCTCATGCTTTCATGTGCAAAAAGTGACTCGGGAAGCAAAAGTACCTTGCTTTCTTGTGCACTGTGCGACGACAACCGGCTGTGTGGCTTGCATCCAGGGTTACGGTGAAGGTGGAACCATTTTGCCTATATTTGGCTGCACTTTACCGGCCAGGAGTGGTGGTTGGAAGCGTTATCCCTGAGACAGATCGACCTGTATCACCGTCGTGTCCAACTCTGATACGGAGTATATTCGTGCGCGATGGTGGAGCTAGATTCTTGGGTAATCCCGCAACGCTCCATTGGGGATTCGACTCGACCCGTTCGGCAAAAACACGCCTTATAGCGAGGTGTTTGAATTCGTCAAAGCTGAAGAAAGTTGGGTGCAAGGCTGTCCAGCATGAGCAAACAAGCCAGTTGCCATTATTGGCGCTTCGTACGGGGTAACAATCTCCGCTCATAAATCTGACAGGTGGAGTCCGTGCCGATCCATTCCCACTTCCCGTTCGTTTAGTGTCCGAATCATACCCACCCGCATGCTTGGTCCAGCTTCATTCGCCGAAGATGCGAAGATGCGTTTTACCTGGACCACCTCACTCTCATTCTTCCCCATTGGCCAAGTAATTAGTAGTTGGTGCCTTCTTGCCTCCATGTTCGATCCTCAGTCATCCCTCTCTATACGCACTCCCACTCCGTTTTGATGTTCCTTTATCTTCCATTTCTTCGTTTTCTGCTTCTTCTGGATTGTGTCCGTCGTGTTCTTCCGTCGCTCCTTCCTCTTTTCTGGCAAACCTTCTTCTAAGCCATCAGCATTCCTGGCCATGGCGGACTTGCTGAGCCAATTTCCCAGCCTCCCGCCAGACGTCCAGCAGCAAATCCTCAACGGCCCGGCTATGACTCCACCCCAAGGCGTTGTGCCAAATTTCGACCATCCTCCCAACAGCACCGGTGTCGGTATTGCATTCGGCGTCCTCTGCGCCATTGTTGCTATCGTCTGCTTCTTTTTCCGAGTCTATTGCCAGACTCGGGTGGAAAAGAGGTGGCACACCGAAGATTGTATGTTCCAACCCCCACGCTTTTGCGCGCGTGTTTTAGATAAAACTGGACTAAGTTGTCGATTATAGACTTTGGATTACTTGCATTTGTATGATTTTGTTCTACTTTTTTTTTCGTTCTGAAGGCTGTATGCTGTTTGTTTGCTGACGTGTCTGCCATAGATATCATACCTTGGTGCAATAATCAGCTTCTTCGTCTTCATATACTATGGTGGATTTCTGGTTCATCAGTGGAATATCCGGTTTAGGACATTCCAAAAGGTTCTTGAAGTAAGTAGATCCTGTTATAAAGGTAAATCGCGCTAAACTTGGATCAGAACTCCCTAGCTATAACGTTTTCCTATATTCTGTTGATGTTGTTTGCTAAAGTCGGCATCCTTCTTGAATGGGGTAAATCACCTTTGCTTTTACTCTGTCTATTGTACAAGCTTGATTGCTAACTTGGATTTACTGCCAAACAGATCGCATATTTAACCCTGCTAGCGAACGCAATGGTTTCTTCTGGGCGAGTCATACGATTTTAGCCCTCAATGTTCTCCTCTACATCAGCATTCTCATCGCCGAAGCACTCTCCTGCCGTCCAGCGAGATACTTGTGGCAGCCTTGGGTCGCAGGAGTCTGCTTCAACAAAAGAGCTCTGGATCTTGCGTCTGCCTACTTCAACCTTGTAGCTGATGTTCTGATTCTCCTTCTACCCCAACGCATCATCTGGTCGTTGCAAATGTCGAAGCAAAAAAAGTTAAAAGTATCTCTCATCTTCTCCGCCGGTATTATGTATGTATTATTTCCGAGTCATGTGTGCGGAAAACACTGGAGATGGTTTTTTATATATCTCTGATCTAACAATGGACTCTGCTCCGCAGAACCTGTCTTTGTGCTGTCTTCAGAATCGTCGTCATCCACCCACTTAAATATGCTGGCGATGGGGACACAAATTATCTTACCTCGAGGGTGTACATTCTGACCATTGCGGAGTCGACGTTTGTCATTCTTGTCTTCTGTACGTTGCCTCCTCTTTGCTGTGGTTGACGGCCGTGTGGCCGACAGCGGCTAACGTGAGTTTTCTAGGCATGCCAGCGCTTCCAAAGGGATTTGTTGAAAGCGCAATCGGACGGGGCATCATATTTTCTCTCCATTCACTGGCTTCCATGACAAGAAGAAGCAACACGTCCTGGGCAGAGAGTTCGCATCGAGGGACGAGGACGAAGGGCTTCGCTGGCATCGACAGCACTTCGGATCTGCACATGCATGATGTAGAGAACAACGTGTGGTCGGTCAGCTCTCATCCCGGAGAGCGCCAAGGTGAGCCTGGTATTATACGGCGAATTGATATCAGCACGCACCACGAGCAGAAGAGCTCCTCCGTGTAACATCTGCTGCGGCTCATTCCTCTATTGTAGCTCTGTATTTTGTTTGGCTCCTAACCTATACCGCAACTTTCAAATGTTGTTTATTCCACATTCTCATGGACATCGTTAATTTGACCACCGATTTTGACTAAATTTTATGTATATTTAAAGTCAGTGATAAGAGACGACGCGACTTGAACTGTCTTGAACTTAGGACTCTGTCGAGCATGCGCAACAAAGATAGAAAATGGAAAACAAGTGTACCAACACCCATGGTTATTATTTTCCTTTGTCCTTTTGACAGGGTATTGTCAGAAGCTGCGGGATTGGCCGGGAACTTCTTCGATGCGGCAGCCCCTACTCCCCTTCCCCCCCTCCCCTCCGGCGCATAATCCCCGGTTGGCCGCTAGGGTACATCAGTTGATCTGTTGTTTTCTACCAACTATAAATAAAGGCCCACCTTTCTCCTTTTTGTGTCCCCAGCCAAAGCGGCCACCTCTTCAGCAGCAACTGCTTCCATACTTCTGTTCAATCATTCACTGCCAACTGCCAAAAGTCCATCGCACCTTTCCGATCTTGGCTACTATATTTACCCGTTATCTAGCATATCCATCGCGAATATGGGCAATGTCATAAATTTGGCAATGCAGTATGCACTGTACTTTGCGGTCCCTTTCGTGTGTTATCTCTTGTTCAATAGCGGATCATTGCTAATGCGGAGTAGATTGTGCTACGAATCACTTACAGGCTTCTTTCAAGCCCGCTACGACATTACCCAGGTCCCTGGTTAGCCAAGATCACCGATGCCTATAGCGCCTTTTTTGCGTATAACAAAACACTTCATTGGCAAGCGTACGCGCTCTCACGCGAGTATGGTATGTGAATAGCCTTATTGGATCATTTAGAGCTTCTTTACTACGCTCGGCGTCAAATTTCTTTCTTGTCCTTTTTATATACTTATGAAATGGATAGGCGACGTCTACCAGATTGGGCCCAATAAGCTCATTTTCAATACTGCGACTGCTGTCAAAGGTAAACCAACGATACCACAACGACAATAAGGAGCTCAACCGCTAATACTTGACGCCCCGGTAGATATTTATTTGAATCCGCGCGTCGCAAAAGGCGAGCCATACAATCATGGAATGTTTGCGGCGAAAAACCGCAACTTGATCATGACGACCGATCGAGTCGACCATAAAAGAAAGCTCAAAGTAATTGCCACCGTTCTCAATGAGAGATCTATGCGTATCTTTCAGCCGAAAATGGTAGATCGGATAAACGAGTTCCTTCGCAAGATTCGCACCAGCACGACTTCGTCGTCTTCCTCTCCCGACGTATCTTCCTCCCCAGTCAACGTCTTGGATCTGGCCACCTACATGACGACAGACATTGCGGCGGATCTTGCATTTGGCCATCCACTCAACACCCAAAGCAATCCCGCCAACCGCTTCTTCCCCAGAACCCTCAAGGAATGGAGCTGGCGCATCAACTTCATGATGCAGTTCCCCCCGCTGCGTTACTACAACCTGTTGATGTTGGCCCTCAAATACAAGCAGACCGCGCAGACGGGCAAGGCGGTTCGCGAAATTGTGCGCACCAGAGAAGCCATGGATAGATATGCGTTTCACGATTTTTATTCCATCGTCATTGACGAAATCAAAACGGGCGATTCATTCTTGCAGAGCGAAATGTGGCCGCACGCAACCAGCTTCCTGGCCGCTGGTGGCCTGACAACCGCCGCCACCATCGCTGGCACCCTTTTTTATCTATCCAGGTATCCTGATTGCTATCAGCGCGCCGCCAGAGAAGTCCGTCAGGCGTTTTCGTCGGCCGATGAGATTGTGCCCGGCCCCAAGCTGGCCGAGTGCAGCTACCTGCGTGCCTGCATTGACGAGACTTTGCGCATGTCACCCCCCATCACCACTATCTTCTGGCGCCAGCTCGATCCTCTCGACACAGCCGGCGAGCCCTTCACAGTAGACGGCCACATCATACCGCCGGGCACGCAGGTGGCCATCAGCATCTACGCTCTGTCGCACAACGAAGACATTTATCCAAACTCGTGGGTCTACAAGCCCGAGCGGTTCCTCGAGCACCATGGAGATGGCGATGACGAGCTCAAGGCATCACAGGAAGCGGTCCGCATGGCGCATATCCCCTTTGTCACGGGCGACAGGACTTGTCCCGGCAAAACCATGGCGTGGATCGAAATGTCCATGGCGCTTGCGCGTTTATTTTGGTACTTTGACTTTGAAGCTGCCCCTGGCGAGCTCGGCCAAGTCGGCCAGATTTTGCGGCCAGGTCTGGACGGAAAGCCAACGGCGCCAGAGTATCGGACGGAGGATTGGTATGCGGCGGAGCATGAGGGGCCATATTTAGTCTTTCGACAGCGCGACAACTTGGCGGATGACCTGCTGCGGAATAGTGGAAGCAGATGATTGGAAGTACATACATGGGTATGAAATATTGAGCGCCGAAGGCSGAGACATGTTTTGAGCATGCAGTATACGTAACAGCCCGACGGGGTTGGTGGATAATGATTTTACATAATTGATAACCGGTTATGGTGTTACTCAAAGCTGTCTAATATCAGGTGGTTGTTCATGAATTATAGAGATGCAAAATCAAATATATCGTCCATAAGGGCAGTTCTACCACCACTGTGGCTCAAGCTCTGGCCTTAAAAATTATTATTAAAAACCTTTAAAAATATTATATAATTTCTTTTTTACTATTAAATTTTATAATATAATTATTTTAACTACTGAATTTTAGCTTCTATAGTAGCAGAGAAAAAAGCTACGTAATATTTTTATTTACTTAACTTAGTAGCCCGCTTAGGATTATGCCAAAATAAAAAAAATATAAATAATTAATCTAGTATCTTTAAAGCCCTCTAACTGCACCCGCCGCCGGACCCAAGTAGAAATAAAAAATAATATCAATCAATGGCTAGTTAAAATGGCCTTTTAATGATATGGGTTTCAAAGCCAGAGCTTGAGCCGTGGTGGTGGCGGACATGTCGGAAATGCCCTTACACACGCACGTTGGACTCTCAGGGGAAGAAACGGGAAGCCATGGGAACACCAGCGAATAGGTGGGATGTATGAGTACTGTGTATTCTCGCCAGCGGCCGACCTGCTTGTACAGCATCTAATCGTGCCTCTGAGAAGATTCGATTTCATGTGAATTGAGGTTTCCAACAAGGTAATCTGCCTTACTATACGAAGTATAGTTATTGATGGCAAACATTGCATGACTATCGTTATGCGCAGATATCATTACTCATGCAGGTCAGGCACGCGTCTCAAATTGCAAATCATGAGGAGTGACCGTACCGTAAAGCAAAACCCATCTCTTTATAAGTTCAAACTTTTACAAATTCCTAGAGACTGTCCTATCCGCATTTCCCTCTTCGCCTAAACCTTCAAACACCAACCGTCTCCTCTACCTTCTTGATCTCATGGTCAGGAAGTTGCTCCAGGGGAATGATAAGTGCCAGCAGGACAGCGGCTACTGCACCGGCGAGACCAAAGGCGAAGACGTCCTTAATCTCGACCATGTAAGCATTGGTCACGGCTGTAAGCTCACTGCCCTGGAAAATGTACTGTATCTGGGATGCTCCTGTTCCCAAGGCCGTAGCAGTGTCGATATTGGAGTTGGACTTCTTCAACGTCTGCAGCAAGCGATTGGCAAAAAGAGCCTGTGCCACGATAACGAAGTACGTTCCACTCATAGATTGACACACAGGGCAGGCTTAGTTAAGGCGACGTGTAAAGTAGAACAGCGTGGTTCATACTTAGCATGATACCAGTGGAGCTTGCCACATCCTCCGGCTTTGAGAAACCCTGCACTGCTGTCATAGGGATCTGGTTTCCGAGCCCGACCGCGAAGCCATAGAGAACTTGAGTCCCAAGGTAGCGGGCCTCGGGTGAATTGACACCCATAGTGTAGAACAGAGCCATTCCGGCAACCATCAGGAGTGCACTGATTAGTTGATAGGGCATAAGATGGCGCGTCTTTCCGACAATCCCACTACTCATCAGGGCTCCCAGGGAGAAAAAGGCCAGGAAGGGGAGGGTATCAACGCCACTCAAAACAGCGGACTTGTCATGAATAGACTGGAAGTAGATAGGGAGATAGAACATTACCTGGTAGAATGAAGAATTGGAAATTTGGGAAAAGATCAGTATTAGCATCTGGAAGAACGGCGAGCAAGAAAATAGTACTTATTCACTCACATATAGCACCACAAGGCATTAGCCCATGTTATTGGAGGCCTGAGGAGTCTCGATGGGACCATCGCGCGTGAACCTTGGAAACCCTCGACAACGAAAAAGAGAATGGTGACGGCAATCCAGAGGACCAATAGGGCAATAGCGACTCCGGTATTCCATGCTTTGCTTTGACCACCCCATTGAAGAGCCAGGGCAAAACATACCAGTAAGCCAAGCAAAAGACTGAATCTGGGTAGATCGAGCTGCAAAAGAACCTCTGTCCAAGAGGCTGGGACCGGTTTGACATGCCTGGGTACCCGGAAGAACAGCAGACACAGGACGAGAATGGGTCCTCCAAGCGGCAGGTTGATCCAGAAGCACCAACGCCAAGAGACGCCACTGGTAGAAAGCACCGCCGATAATAGGCCCAAGGATTGTCGATACCATAAAGACACCCATCCAGCTACCGATCAGGACTGGTCGCTGCTTTGGTTCGGCCACGAGATTGATAACGAGAACAGAGCCTCCCAGCGTTCCCGCAGCTCCCAGACCTTGGATAGCTCGACCAACAATTACAGAGATGTTATTAGGAGCTACGGCCGCGACAATGCTACCTACCAGGTAAAATAGGACCGAGCACATGTAAACCCATCTAACAGGGAGGTATTTGTAAAGCTTTCCCCACATAGGCGAGGAAGCTCCGACAAGAAGAAAAGTTGCGCTTCCATACCATCCTACGTCGTCAAGTTGATAAAAATCATCAGTGATCCCAGGAATTGCAGTTGCGATAATTCCAATCTCGAGAGCTGCAAGGAGTGTGCTCACAAAGATGGTAAACATGATCAGAAACAACCGCAGTCCAGTGATGTATCCCGGCTCGGCAGCCACAGCCTTGTCTTCCTTATGCTTTTCCTGGATGCTGTCTGCTGGGGTGTGCTCGTCATTGCTAGCGGAGATCGACGGATAGGCTACTGCTTCCATGTCGGTTTTCGGGCCCGTTTCCGACGGAGAGATATCTTCAGAAGGCTCGAGAGACATGATGATCAGCTTTTCTGTGGCGACCTAGGGGGTTTTAAATTCGCAGAAGCACGAAGTTGCTAAAGGAGGTTGAGAGGAAGGTCTGGAGAAATAGGAGATAGAGCATCCATGTCAGCACGGTATGCAGGTATATAAGAGAAAAGTAATTCTCTCGCAGATAGTATAATGGGCTCAGGATTAGGATTGCTAAGGATTGATAATTCGTCAGGGAAACAAACAATACGTAGGTAATCAGGCACAAGTCCACCGAGGGAGGGCAGATGTGTGATACCTACCTTTTTGTCGGTAACAAGGAAAAGTATATTTTCGACCGCCGCACCGCCGCACCGCCACACCCGACCTCCGGAGCTAACACAATTGGGATTAGTATCACACTTAGACCGCCGCACTACTGTCGATCTCCCGAGTTAACCCAGGTTGGGCTTAGCGTAACATTTCGACCGCCGTGAACCTATTGCATGTGCAGTATGTACGTGGAAACACGGGCAAACTGTTGGCAGAATGTGTCTTCGCCCAGCTGGAAGCTGATAAAGATAGTGCTTCCACCTTCTTCCGCCGGCCATCCTCCCCCGCATATCCTTTTCTTTTGCCTTTCTTTCGTATTGCACCTTAGCCCAGATGCCACTCTCGCCTCGTCTAGAGATCGCGCCAAACATCGGCAGCCCGAGGTCAGTTTTCACAGCCATATTCTAGCCCGTTAGATTCCAATGCAGTGCAGATCACTGCAACCACTCAGCATAAAAGATAATTAGGCGGTGTAGGACATACTTACATCCATCAATCTAGATCATGACAACAACTATTCTATAAAATCAAGGGGACACTTCATGCAACTATACATGGGCAGCCCAACAGCGCGAAAGCGTGAGCACCGAAATCAGATTCTACCCTTTATTCAAAGCTGACCGCTTCGTAGTTTATGGGCATAGTTATCTTATCTCTCTGTGACGTGCTAAGGCATAGAGTAATCACTATTCTGTACTAGGTACGAGAGATTCAGGTCTGTACTTCAATAACAGATACTAAGAGTTAATTACTAATATGAACTAATACTACATCTTCTACACCGTATAAATACCTTGTATGGTTATATCAAATATCTTCTTAGTTTTGTTGGTTACTGGTGGTTTAAATAGGGTCTTGGTTATGAGGCCGGGATCGTAGCAAGGTTACCGGTATGATAGAGCATAGGACCTACAGTATCACGGTGAATGAATTTATTATTATAAGTCGGAGAACCCACATAGGAGTAAAGGAAATAACGAGACATGGGGCTTCCGGACTAACCAACATGTTGTTCTGGCTTGGGAGATCACGTACCATCAGCTTTATTAAGTAGGCCTGCAGCCTTCATTTTCATCCATGGTACATAAAACCGAGGACATGCGTGTTGTAAAGTGGGAGTGTATTAATTATGGCTGTTGGATGCTGCCTGTACTTCGTGGTTCTCTATTAGTAAAAACTAAAATCCGCCCTAGCGCTGTGTAGGTTGGTGTTCAACATACACTTTAGTTTAGACTCTGTTTGATTTACATTTATTGTTTTCGAGATAGCTAAGATCATGCCTTGGGAAGCGGGCTCTATCTAGGTAGATTTGACGTACTGTAATATTATAATAGCGGAGTTGGAAAAGAAAGTACCTCAGTCTGGGGGTAATCTGTTTTCGAAACCCACTGTACCGAATAGTAGCAAAGACTATGATCTTGATAGCCCAAGTCCAAAATTGAGACTTCTCGGGAAGCTATGCAAAAATCAATGTTATGTTTATAGGTGATCACCCTTCTCCGCAGATAGTAGCAGTTCTCTTCTGCAGTAGCGTACCGTATTGTCTATAGCAATGAAAAGGCAAGAAGCGGATAAGTTCACAATATATGTTCCCCGAGATGTAGCTGTGAGACACTAAAGTTTGTGATAACAAGCACACTTAGTAGATAAATTGTAAAGGCTTAATTCCAGTTGGTTTATAATGTAACGCCCTCTGACGGCTTTGGATTTGGAGTAGGTCCATAAGGAACTTTTATCTACAGACACAGAGTGTCTACTGGGCGGATGTAATCCTTGCAAAATTCGTTACATATCTTCACTATGGTTTGCTCTCTATCTACAATACATCTAGACTTATCATGCGCCTTTTGTATCTTATATATATATAAGCTTGAAAGGGAAAGCTAAGAGCTAAAATAATTTTAATACGCGAAAGAAGGCTAAATAGCTACATAATATTAACCGACTCTCTCAAATTTGCCTAACGTCAATGACACATATTGCAAGCACTCCGCTTAAAAGTCAAATTCTGCAAATGAGGACAGTTTTTGAGGTATGATGATCTATTGACCTAAAAATTTTAGCCTCTTTCCGTTCTACGACGGAAAAACAGGTGGAATATCAGCATTATATATAACTAATCAATCAATATTATAAAGAAAGGTTTTAGTGTACAACTAGTGATTGTGAAGTATCAAGACACGGCCGTCTAATCTAGAGCCATAAGAGCGCAAGGGCTGCGATGGAAACCGAGATAATGATCTGAGCCAAGCTTCTTGGATGACCCAACAATTCAGCACCATTGAACGCAGGCAAATCGGATGTGCCCGTAGAGGTCGAGGCTTTTGGCAAAGTACTAGAAACAGAAAGTGTAGTGTAGCTCACAGGAACAGAAGAAAGCAAACGGGACGAAGCAGTTGATCCAACCTGGGGATGAGCGGGATAAGTCGCAACTGCTGTTTCAGATAGCGTATATGTAGACTCTCCGACAAGGAGGGTCTCTGTCACGATCTGGGGAGCAGCTGGGTTGGCAGAACAGCCTGTCACTTCAGGAGGGCAGGAGGTGAATGTAGCGGTACGGGTGCTCAAGATTGGTGACACGGAGACGGAGATGAAGGGGATACCTGTCGGCAGAGAAGTTACTTTCTCGGTAATCACGTAAACGGTAGTCAATGCCGCTAGCTCTGTAGTAACCTGCGCAGTAGGTTCATTTTCGGCTACTGGACAGACTGTAGTCGATACGTAGATCGTCTCAGTCGTGACATATGTGGTTCGTGACCGTGCTGGACAATATATAATACTCGAAGGACAGGCGGTGATGGTAGAGGTACGAGTACTGTAGATGGTAGAAGTTGTCAATTCAACATTGGAAGATGTGATGTGGCCGGAAGATGTCGTTGAGGGAAGATCAATAGGTGGAGGTGATGAATTAGGTTCCAGAGGACCTGTCGATGGGAGTTGTTGGTTTGATTCTGTCGAAATAACGGTCGTGGAGAAAGGATCCAACGTGGAAGAAGACGAAGGAACAAAGGAAATAGTCGATGAACTAGAGATCGAGATGCCTACCGGGTTTGAGATTGGAGGGGTAGATTGCAACTCCGTGCTTGTCGCGGTAGATGTGGTTGCTGCGAGGGAATTGGATCCAGTTGAGACAGAGGGAGGAGCTGAAGGAATGACAGGACTAGAGCCGTGTCCGATAGACTGACTTGACACTGACGATACAGATGTGTGTGGATTGATAGGGGGGGAGGTTGGGGGGACCGATGACGGCGATACCGATGAAGAGCTGGGTAAAAGAGGTGTGCTCGTCGGTGCGAAAGTATTTGACCTCGATGGATTAAAAGATGATGAGGGATATATGGGAGCGGTGGAACTCGAATGGGCAATAGGTGATGAGGACGCAATGCTAGAGACCAGGCTCGAGGGCTGTGGTGATGGTGTGGATGCCGATGGTATCTGCGAAGGGATCGACGATGGCAGTACTGGTGAAGAGCTCTGTAGAAGGAGTGTGCTTGTTGATATTAATATAGCTGAGCTCGAATGAGCAATGGGTGATGAGGACGCAATGCTAGGGATCGGACTTGAGGGCTGTGGTGATGGTGTGGACGCCGGAGGAGTCGAGGTAGGTGTCGACGTTCGCGTGGTAGTAGTGCAAGCTTGTGTAGTTGTATCAAGAATGAATTTGGCGTTATCTATGTAGATAGCAACTTGGGCAATGCGATATGGGGAACAAGTTATGTAAATGCCAAAAATGTGACTTTCTGTTGTTGCGGTGAATGGGCCGCTCAGAGTGAGCCACTGGCTGTTGGTGCTCCTGTAACTCGCGGTGTTTCCGTTGATGAGGTTAGCCGCCGAGGCAGAGTCATGGTAGAGATCTACAGTGCAGAACTCTGTGATAGCCGCATTGGTGATCACTACCATGAAGTCGACAGATGCTTGATAGGTAGTACCTGGGACCAGACCTGATATTGTTTGGTAGATGTACTGAAACGGGTATACGCCACTGGTTAATCTATAACGCCCGTTAGCATATCTGAGCTAGTTTCACCCCGTTTGAAAATTCGTACAGCGACTGAGAGCCATCAATTGCTTGAGCGGTCGTGGTTGTGCGCGGATAGTAGTATGACCATGGGCTCAAGCCGTCCTCCCAGGATGGGTTCGAGAGAAGATTGGTTGATACAGTGGTGTCGGTACAGGTCACGTCGCCGCTCGTAGAGCCACTACCTGCAACGGCTCGTCCGAGGCCTGTATAAAGAGCGATAGAGAGCCACCATCTCAGGGAAGCCATATCAAAGATGTTGAGGATCGCGTCCGAGCCAAGTACTTAGATGATTCCCCTAGAAAAAGAAAACCTCCTTGAAAGACTTGTTGTGGGGGTTTGGGGGGATTTTAAGCTCCGGACCCGGACGCGGTGCTAAATCTTCATCTCTATCGTTAGGGCGTAAGATTCTGGTCGGCAACTTTTCCTTCTGTTGTGGTCACGATCGAGATTTGAATAGTTCATGGAGCAGGCGGTTCTTATTGTCCAATCACGGACCGCAGTTTTTCAATGGGTGACAAACTCAAAAGTTGTTCCTGAATCAGGCACGTGGCCTGGACCACCGGCGTTTCCGGAGACCCACTACCCACTATGATTAAGCCAGCCTAGATTTAGTCCTCGATAGAAGGCATTTTTTGGCGGGATTGGGTGGATTTAACCGATTTCGGCCACTTTTAATTAAGACTATGAAGCCTGACCTCCGTCCCACTTCGTTTGCCACAAGCTTGCTTTTTTGCGATCATTAGTTTGCATTGAACTAAAGGATGGTTTAGGATTGTGGCTTACAATTTCCTTAGAAGCTAGGTCTATATATCTAACTCTAACCAAAATACCTAGCCATAGATTCCCGTGAACTGACAGTTACTTCACTTTTTTAGTATATAGATCGACTTTATGCTAAATCTAACATAGAGAGAATTTTATGTTATTTTATCTTTTAGTTCTTTTATGTTACGTTCCTATTAAATATAATTTTTAATAAATTTTATCTATGTTTTTTAATTTATATATAAATACTAAACTAAATTTAAATATCAGTAAAATTCTAAGATGAAAAACTGGTATTTATATAAAAAAATATCTATTATAATATAGATGATTTTATGTAAAAATTAAATTATTGTCGCAAACCGATGTTTTATAAACGTCTAGATCAGAGAACTTGTCACTTAATGGCGGTCAAAGTGGTATTCTGATAATAAAAGGACAGTAAGCCTAAGTAAAAAATAAGATAATCTTAGTGTCAGAGAAATCAAGAAGTCACAGCCAATGAATCAGGCCCCCATGCACGGAAACTAACAAGATGGAACAAAGGATTATCCGTAACCGCTAGGGTTAGGGTAATAGAGCCGATAGAGCCATTGTTAGGGCAAGGCTCGAATAGCTCAAGTAGAGTCAATAGAGTCATTATTAGTAATAGGCTTAACTAACTCTACTGACAATAAGATTTATAAAGATATTTATTTACTATATATTTAGTTTTAGTCTATTGTCTTAAATTAACTATTTAATCTTAAGTATACTATTATTTATAGATCTAGTTAACTAAAGCTTTCTTATTACTACTTAAGTATATTGCTCTTTCCTAAATAGAATACTATTTAATTATTATTAAGTAATGAGTTTACTCTAATCTAAATAATTATAAATTATTAGTTTATAATAATTTAAGATCCTTATTATAAAAGAGAAGTCTTAATAAGAAAGCAATATCTACTCCTTAGTAAATATTAGTACCTTTTAAGGTTTAAATCTATAAGCTAGTACTATTAATACTAACTAGAACTCTGTCTTACTTATCCAGTAATACTATAACTACTAATAATTAGAATATCGCGTCTATCCTAGTAAGGATTGAAAAACTTAAAAAATAAGTTATAAAGGTATATATTAATAATAGTATTATCTAGAAAGAAGTTAAGATAGAGAAGATTAAATTATTTTTAAGAGAATAAAGAACTTTAAAAGTTTTTCTAGTAAAGCTATAAATCTACTTTATAAATAATATTGAATAAATTATTACTAAAACTAATAAAGTTATAATAGCTGCTAGCTTCTTTACTAGAGATATTATAATATAATTTATATCTTATATAAATAATTATTTAATTAGTAATAAAGATTAATATAATYTTAAGATAATTAATTATTTTAGTAGCTTCGCATATTTCAAAGAAAAATTGAATTAACTATATGGGATAGTAAATAAAGAACTTAATACTATATATTAAATTAAAGAAATTAAGTAKTATAGATCTATTAAAGAATATATTATAAAATTCCTCTAAGTATCCAGSAAGCTGTAATAAGAAGAGTAAAGACTATAAAACTAGTTTTATAAAAATTTAAAAGAAAATACATGAAAGATTAAATCTTATAAATAATATTATAGTTTAATATATTTAAAAAGATAATAGAAGCTGTATTATAGATTGACTTATAGATTTAAATATAATAATTAAAGAAAGAAGAATATTACTAATTTTAAAACTAYTAATATTAGTAGAAAGAATACTAATTAAATATATATTARARAAGAACTTAAGATAAAGATAATAATATTATTATATAAATAAATATTATACTAACTAAGAAAAAAAAAAAAAAACTAATTAAAAAGAAAACCTACTTTAATTATAGAATACTAGAATATTTTATAAATAAATATTAAAAGCTAAAAAAGAACTAAAAAATAGCTAATTAAAATTTATAATAATAAATTATAATAGTTATTTATATAGTAATACTAGATAAGAGCAGTACCAAAAAAATCTTAGAAATTAATAATAAACTATTAGAATAATATAAAAAAAGAATCCAGTAGTAAGCTAAAAAATAGAAATAATTATAGAAAGAAATTTAATAGGTATTAAACGAGCTAATAAACCTAAATAATAATATTGAAAAAGTAATATGATATTATAGAAAGATTAAAATATTTAGAAATATAGAAAGACTCCTATAGGAATAGATAACATTGAATAAAGAAGAAATATAAAGAGTATTAAAAGGAAAGAATATCTAAGTATCTATAGCTATGTATAAGGATGCTTATTATATATTTTTAAAGAATAAGCAGAGCTATAAGGTATAAATAATATAAATATCTATAAAAAAATCTATAGAAGTAGAAAAGTCTAGTAAAAGTACTAATTATAAAGATTTCTTACTAATTAAATTATTTTATTCTTAATTAGTGTTATAAAATAGTGATAAATAGATAATAAGTTAGCTAGTCTTAGATTGAGAATAATTAAAACCTTATCTAGACCTTTATAAAAGAATAAATTAGATTATAGAAGTGCATAGAAAGGAGAAGCAATATTAATATATAACTATATAAGAAATAGATAACTATGAAATGGAATAAAGTTATAAGATAATATAGATAACTAAATAAGAAATTTAGAATATAAAATAAAATTAGAGAGATAATCTATATAATTATACATCTATTAAAGCAACTTATTAAAAAGAATCTTAATACACTTAAAAAGAGCATATCAAATAATGTAAGAAATATTATAAATAGATATATAAAGACTGTCTAATCTATGAATATAATAATAAGATCTTAATAGTAATATATAAATAAATTACGAACTCTATTAGACACTAGCTATGTAATAGATAATTAAGATATGTACTAAACTGCTTATATATATACTATTTATATCTAGAAGGGTGTATATATATCAAAATATATTAGATAATATATTATGATAATAGATATAAGTTCTACTATCTTAGTAAGAAAATTAATTAGTAGTTCTCTAGAATGCTAGGGATTATAGTATAAATTAAGTTTATATGCCTAAATGAAAACTTAACTTATAGATATATATATAAAGAAAGTAGACATCTATCTTATTTAAATCTTCTAGAAGAAATATATTATTATTATTATTTATATTTAACATCTATATACAACCTTATGGGTTATGACAGACACATGCCGGGTAAGACCCTAGGCTCTAAGGTCTAGGGGCTTATCCCTAAGAGTTCCCAACAGTATATTAATCTAGGCCTTAATCTCGCYCCYATACGGCGCATCCRCCAGGGACTTTTRRGCATGCTTATAGGCCTCCATGCCTATAAGAATCCCTCATAGTTTCCAACGTAGGAGCACTCCTAGCGAGCGTTAGCCCTGGTGGCCAYGCTTAAGCACTAGGGTGCTCATCCCCCTATCCTACCCCCTCGTCCTCCCACTCCCTTAGGGCTTCCCACCCCYATTGGTCCCCTAGTTCTGCTTCTTTAGCGCTCCGGGCACTATCCTCGAAGAGATCAACGCTGTCGAGAAACCGGAGCAGCGCTGGTGTGG